GCCGAGGCGGCGCATGCCCTCGCGCAGCTCGTCGTACGTGATGCTGCCGCTGCCGTCCTTGTCCATCCCCTTGAACATCTTCTTCAGCCCCGAGATCTCCTCGCGGGACAGGTTGCACGCCACCACCTGGTCACACCAAGGAGGGCATGTGGAGAGGGGAGGAGGGCAGTGGGGTAGAGGGGGGATGGGTAGTGAGTGGTATGACTGGGAGGTTTGATTGCCGTCCTTGTCCATCTCCTTGAACATCTTCTTGAGCGCCGAGATCTCCTCGCGGGACAGATTGCACGCCACCACCTGGTTGCCAGCGGGGGGTGGTGAGGGGGAGAACGAGGGGGAGAACGCGGGGGAGAGGCGAGGGTGCGAGAAAGAGTGGGCGACGTGAGGGTAAAAGTGGTGATGGTGGAGGGGTGAGGAGGTGGTGAGGATGGGGGTTCTAAACGATGGAGGGTGGGGCGGAAGGGGGTATTTTTTCGTGTTGCACACCACTGACTGATGTGCAAGGGGAAATGTCTGGCGGGGTGGTTGGATGGTGGTGCTGGGGAAAATAACATCAGCACATTTGTGAAGACAATTGTCTTCCTTTAGGCACACTCGCACACCCACCTTTCCTCCTCTCAACCAGACTCCTGTCTGCGCCCACCTTGAGAGCGAGCTTCTTCATCTTGTTGGCGGCGCTGAACTTCTGAATGCGCTTCAGCACGGCCGCGCCCAGCGGCTTGTCCGACGCCTTGTCCGCCGCCACCCACGGATGGCCTGCAAGGATGGGGGGAGGAGCAGAGGGAAGGGGAACAGAAGGAGGAATGAGAGAAGGCGGGAGACGGCTTTTGAGAGGCCTGAAAGCACGGCCGCGCCCAGCGGCTTGTCCGACGCCTTGTCCGCCGCCACCCACGGATGGCCTGCGCACATGGGGAGGCGCAGAGGGAGGGGAAAAGGGGACGGGGGAAAGGGGAAACGGGGGGATTTATTTGGGGGTGATGCGCGTTCCGCGACGTCTCAATACACACGACAACCCGCCAAACCAGGCAAACCCAACCCAAACCAATGCTAGGGCCGCAGCCAGTCCAACCCAACCCCACCCAACCCAACCCAACCCAGTGCGCCAGACAGCAGCCACTCACGGAGGGCGTCAGCAGCGGAGATGCGCTTGTGCGGGTCGAGCGTGAGCATGCGGCGCACGAGGTCCTTGGCGCAACCCTAACCACCGCAGCTAGCGACAGACCACGATGCCCAACCCAACCCAACGCAAGCCCAACCCGACCAAGCCCAACCCGACCCAACCCAACCCAACCCAACCCAATCGAGTACGCCAGACGTCAGGCACTCACGGAGAGCATCAGCGGCGGAGATGCGCTTGTGCGGGTCGAGCGTGAGCATGCGGCGCACGAGGTCCTTGGCGGAGTCGCTGATGTGCGGCCACGGCTCGCCCGCCAGGTCCGCGTTGCCCTTCAGCACCGCGTTGAAAATCTGCTTCTCCGTCGCTGGGAGGAACGAGGGGAGGGGGTTCAGCGGAGGGTGTTGGGGTGGGAAGAGGGGGGACGGGGGATGGGGGATGGGGGAGGGGGGGAACAGGAGCAGGGGAATGGGAAGCAGAGATGGGGGAGCAGGGAAGGGAGGATGGATGGAATAAACGTTGGAAAGAAGAGTAAGAGGGCAGGCGGCATCGCTGATGTGCGGCCACGGCTCGCCCACAGATCCGCAGAGCCCTTCAGCACCGCGTTAAAATTCCGCTTCTCCGTCGAAAAGGGGGAGGGGGGGAAGGGAGGGGAGTGGGGGGGGGGGGGGAGGGTGGAATGAGGGGGGAAGGTGAGGATGAGAAGCACGGACGGTGGAGGGAAGAGTGGAACGAAGAGTAAGGCGACAGCTGGAAGCGTTGCTACAGCGCACCGGGAGCTGCTCCAACCAGCATATCGTCGTTACCTTGAGGACAGAGTTGGAGGCTTAACAAGATCTGAAGCAATGCCTACTCTGGACCGCATCGTATCGTGGCCGGCTTAACTCGGTCACAGCAGGAACGAATATACTCCACCAGGCAACGGGCAGGGGCGAGAAACGCATCCATAGTTTAGTCAGAACCTCCTATGACGACTATATTATTATTAGCGTTAGCTACCACCTCCTTAAAAGCACATAGACGGGCAGATCCTTCATAAACGGAAGAACATTGTAGAAGAGAACGAGAAGAAGAAAAAAAAAACGTGGAGAAGCGAGTTCGTTCAGTCAACTCTGAACACACAGAAAGAATGGAAATTCGCGATGGACTCACAGCCATAGAGAAACGGAGCACCACTGAAGAGCTAATATAAACAATGACGACGCAGGTGTTCTTTGAGTCGACTCAAACGCACCTAGGAGCACGATCAAAGACACGCAACGACAGTATAAATACTTACATCCATAGAAGGGCGGCGCGCCGCTGAGGAGAATGTAGAGAATGACGCCGCAGCTCCACACGTCCGACTCCTTGCCGTACTTGCCCTTAAGCACCTCCGGCGCCACGTAGAACGCGCTGCCGACCGTCTCGGTAAACACCTCGCCGTCCTTAAAGAACACCGACAGGCCGAAATCCGTGACCTTGAGCGGCGCGTCCTCGCGCTTGTTCGCGAGGAGGAAGTTCTCGGGCTTTAAGTCGCGGTGGATGATTTTCTTCTGGTGGCAATAGTCCACGATGGAGAGGATGGTTTTAACGAGGCCGGACGCTGCGCGTTCGCTGTAGTGGCCGCGCGCCGCGATGCGGTCGAAGAGCTCACCGCCGCCGCAAAGCTCCATGACGATGTGCACGTTCTGCTTGTCCTCGAACGCGCCGCGCAGGGTGACGATGTTTGGGTGCCCGGCTAGATGATGCATGATGGCGATCTCCTTCCTGGAAAAACGGAGGAAGATGAGATGGCGAGGTAAAAAAAAAAAAAAAAAAAAAACGAGGAACTTTTTAAGACGACGAACACAAGAGGATATGTTACTAAAGAGAAGCAATCGCGAGGTTAGGTCTAGGTTTGTAGCGGATCTGGAAAATAAAATCGTAATCGGAATCCATCGGGAATGTCGTTGCACCTAGAAGAACTTGCGGGAGTATACTTAACGTTCACTGGAAAAAAACAAATAACGGTAAACAAAGAAACAATCTGAAACAGGCATTGAGGAAAAAGAGGGTAGGCGCGGGGAAGAGAAGAGCCCACGCGAAGGACATCAGTAGGGTGTCTAAACTCTTCCTTAAACCAGTTGCTCTACAAAGGACGGGACAATCGCCGGCAATCCCGAGGATCAGATGTCTAATGTGGCAAAACTATGACTATGTGACAGGCAGGCCCTTTTTTTTTCTCAAAGACGAGACGAGCAGTGCGGCAATGTGGCGAACCTGATTAAGATAATATGGTAAGGGTTATCGGATGGACTCAGCGTGAAAGGGAGAGTGTACATTGTTGGCAAAACATGGGAAACTTCCGAGATGTGGCACAAGCAGACATAGGGCTCCCATCCGCATGCCGCATTGCGAGAAATAAAGCGAAACGGAGTGGACATATTCGAATACATCAGCAGGAGAAGAAATGTAGTTTGAAAGAAAAGGAACATTGGAGGCTAGTCGCGAGCACCTGATGTCCTCAACCTCCTCCTTAGTTGAAAGGCGACGCTTCGCGATGGACTTGCACGCGAGCTGCTCGCCGGTCTTCTTATCCGTGCACAGATGCGTCACGCCGAACTGTCCCTTCCCCAGCTCCTTCCCCATCACGAAGTGGTCACTGATTTCAGCCGGCGGCCGGTTGAGGATGTTGGCCGTCAGCGTCTTGCTCGATTTCCGAAACATCTTGGCCGCGGGAAATGCGGTCGAGGAGCGTTGTAAGGTAACGCAAGGAAAGAGCAATAGGAGTTTTGTTGCAACTCCCAGATGGTTGGGAGAAATGAGGACTTGGAGGACTGGGGAAGGAAGATCAAGCTTGGTCCTCGAAGTAGAAATGGGGGATATTTCTGAAACTCTGGATTGGGAAGCGAAGAACGCGGGGGGGAGGGGTGGGGGAGGAAGGGGGAAACGGATGATGGACGGAAGGGGCGATGGGCAGGATGTGCAGATCGTGAGATGTTGGGGGAGAACTAGGGGAAACGGAAACGGGAAGGAGTTTGTCGGGCAGAAAAAAACCCTGATGAAAGTGGAAACTTGGATATAAGCGTTATCAATCAGTGTAATATAGTAAGATTGAGATGCGCCCATCTAGAAAATATTTTGCTGGTGAATGAGTAGCTGATAGAAATGCCCCCCATAAAAAAAAGCTCGCAGGTGCCCCATTTCCTTCAGATGCTTGTTTGTCCCTAGTCCGCATAACCATTGCGCGGGGCGCCTACGCGTTTGAGTGTACGTTCTTGGCCCATGTCCGCATAACCATTGCTGCTGGTGATGTGATGTGGGGGATGGGATGGGGGGAATGTACTGTAAAAGGAATCTGACGTGCATCCCGTCCAAAGTAGCACTGCCCATATTCTTACCACCTCAGGCCTTCTCTATTATCGCGAGTGTGTCCTTGATTGCAGTGCAGATGGTCTTACTACAGTACACCCGCCTTTGTTTTCACACGCTGGTGTGGTGTACACCTACCGTACAGCTAATGCCCGTTAGAGCCCCTCCCGGTTGCCTTGTGAAGGGGGTCTGTATGCTAAACCGACATTTCGTAGGGGGTTCGTACGTTTCGTCACGCTTTATGCGTGCTTCTATACTGAACATGGTAACCACCCGATTTGTCTGTTTCGCAATAGTAATGGTTGGCACTCCTTGTCATTAATGTGCGTTACTGGTTACTTCAGCGAATGCCAGAACAATGAACCAAGCAGCCTCATCAATTGTTCAACTTAGAATGAAACATTGAACCACAAAACTGAACCAATCAGCATCTACCACCTGGCCCCCCAGCTCCAATCTCCACAAATATCGCAACACGCACAAATGTGCACAAGGAGTGAACACTCATGCATAGCAAAATGCCTTCGGCGCCTTGCCGGGGGGGCTCAAATTCCACTCACAGGCGCATCCATTCCGCAGCGTCAACATACCCGTCCATCACGGCGCCAACACCGGCGTCCAGCAGCTGCTGGCGGCGGGACGGCTGGGTCATCCAGCCGGGCAGCACTCGGCCGCGCGGACGCGGGGTGTCGGGCGTGGGGGTTGCGGCCGGGGTGGGCACGGCCGGAGGGGCCACGTTGAGATTAAAGGCCGGGCTTGCCCGCTCCATCCGCGCGATAATAATCGGGTTGCGGATGTCGAATAGGTGGCAGAGGTCGCGCGGCGTGATGCATGTGGCGCGAGCATAGCCGATGAGCATCTCGCAGGCCGCCCGGGCGGTGCGCCGCGCCTCACGGCCCACGGGGTCGGCATCGTCGTATACGGCCTGCATGGTGGTCGGCGCCTCCCAAAGCTCCACCACCAGGCCCGCTTCCGGCTCCTGAGTCGTCTGGTCCGCCACGTGCTCGGCGCACGTCGGCTCACCGTCGTCGATGGCGACGTAATCGGCCGCGGTCATCGCGCCATGCCCGAGCCCGAGCCCACTAATGAGCGTGCTGACGTCGTCTATGTCGTCATCGAGCTCGATGTCGGGATAGACGGGCGGGGTGGGCTCGTCGTCGTGAACGTGGGTCAACTCCATGGACCACGACAGCGGCAGACATCCCGTGCACCACCAGCACCGCTGGATGGTGCGCGCACCGACGCGTCCACGCGTCCGACAGCCACCCCAACACGTCGCGCAGGTTCGGGCGGAACCGCGCGACAGCGCTTATCGCGCCGTCCGCGTTCCACAAAGCCGTGAAGGCCCGCAACCAGTGCTGGCGGTAGCGGTCCTTGGCGGTGGCAATGATGCCCTGGTCAAGGGGCTGGGTGAAGGCAGTGGTGTTCGGCGGCAGGAAGACGAGACGGGCGTGGCTCATGCAAGTCGTCCTCATGCCGCAAACGATCTCGCTCCACGAGTGCTCGCTCCGCAGCATGTGCGAGCTCGCGTTGTCGAGTAAAACGACGATGCGGCGTCCCTCCGCATACATGGTAGCGTTGAGCTGCGAGATGAAGTGAGTGAACAGCTGGGAGCGGGGAAGGGCGGGAAGGGGATAGTGCACGAACGGGGAAGATATGAAACGCGCATTTCAACAAATGATACCACCTCGCACATTCAAACACATATTAAAACCTCACCGGTGACGTCATCCACCCTTTGGCGTTGTGACGCCAGTAGCAGAGGGCCTCGGGATCATAGTCCGGGCGGAAATCGTGCGGGCGCCTCGCCTTGCTGATGACAAGCGGGCGGAACGCGTGGCTTCCGTCTGCATTGACGAGGAACGCCACGGTGAGGCGTTCCTTCGACACCTTGCGCCCAGGAATACGGCCATTGCTGTACGTCCGCCGCGGGAGCACGGACAACCAGAGGGCGGTTTCGTCCAGGTTGAACGTGTCGTGTGGACTGACCCCCAGGTGCATAAGCAGTTGCGGGAGCTTCTCCCGGGCGTCGCGCACAGCGGCCATGTCCGCGCTGGCCGCCTCGCCGGCTGTTCCGCGGCACCTCACCCCCTGGCGCCTCAACGCACGGCGCACCCAGCCGATGGAGCAACGAAATGTGGGCGGAATGCCCATGTTCCGCGCCATGGTCGCGACATGGTCGCGGATGGTTTGCAGCGTCAGCGGCACGCCAGCGGGCCCGGCGTTTGCGATCCACCGCGCCATGGCCTGCTCCAGCTCAGGCCATGCGCCTCCCCGCCGACGGACTTGGTTGTCGCCGGTCGCCACGACAGCCCAGCGCTCGGCGCTTTTCAAAATGCGCCCGACAGTGGAGCGGTCCGGGCGAAGGCCGTACTGGGAATAGCACCACCTCGCCAGGTCAACGTGACGCAGGCGAGGGTTGTCCGCGTGCATATCGCGCGCTTAATGTGAAGCGGGACCTGCTCACGGCGGTGGAAACGAGGCATGGTGAGAGGCGGGGGTGTGTGATCACGATGCATAAGTGGATTTGTTGGGTTCAATTTAACTTGGGATGGCGTGCATGCTGAGGCTCTGGTGGGGCCTGTTCTGTGTGGCTGTTCCTAGTCGAGGGGGCGTTGTTCGTTCAATGCATTCGTCTTGAAGGGTCGCATGTTTTTTGTGGTAACCACACGATAGAATGTCTGACGTGGTGTGCCCGAACAATGCCTGGCTGCTAATGCGCTTGTACCCCACAATTGCAGACTATACGTGGCAGTGTGAACATGCCCAAATGTCTGTTATATGCACCATGAACCTCGCTTAGGTGGCATGGCAGTCGGGCGAATGCATTCACGAAACCACTCACGTTTCGTCCATACATTTCGCCTGTCTGACTTCTAGCCTAGAAACAAGGCAAACCAGGGTCGGCCTGCCTTGTTCGGGACTGCAATTGCGTTGGTGGCCGAAGCGCGTGTGTGAGAATGTGATGTTTGTCTAGCCTGCAGTGGGGTACTCTATAGCGAGTACAACCCAATTAGGGTTTCCTATATGTATCTCAACTGCTGCTAGTGAAAACCCCTCTTTCCTGTTTCTCGTTTTTGCCTGCTGTTTCGACATGCTATCAGAGCAGGTCGACCCTCCTGGGTCGATCCTGTGGATGGGCCCGCCACCTAATGCTTCCGCTGCTGTCCTGCCTATCGCGCGCCCCGGGCGCGCGACGTGCTCTGCTTGCCGCGCGCTCGGGTGCACGGCGTATTTTTCATCCCGCCGCGCGCTCGGGGCGCGCGGCGGTTTTCTGCCCGCCGTGCGCCCCGAGGCGCGCGGCGGTTTTCTGCCCCGTCGATCCGCGCGTCGCCCCCCGTCGCCCGTCGCAGCGGCCCCGGGGACCCGCGCGTCGCCCCCCGTCGCCCGTAGCGGCCCGCGCGACCTGCGCTAGGCCCGCGCGCGGCCCGTACAGCCCGCGCGCGGCCCGTACGGCCTGCGCCAGGCCCGCGCGCGGCTCAGGCAGCCCGCGCGCGGTTCGTCCGGCCTGCGCCAGGCCCGTGAGCGGCCCGTACCGTCTGCCCCAGTGCCGCACGCCGTCCCCCGAGCTTCTGACCGCACTCCTGTGTTAGGGTTTGGGGGTGGAGAGTATGGGGGTGCCGTGTGTGTGAGCCGTCCCCTGTTCCTCCTCCTCCTTTGTCTCCCACTGCTGCAGCTGCCGCTGATGGGGGGTGGATGTGTTGGAGCCGTCAGAGTGGTACGAGGGGGGTGGCGTGTGAGCGGTGCTAGTGGTTCAGCAGGGGGTGTGTGAAAGGGGTGTGGGACAGTTGGGGGAGGTTGACCGGAGGTAGCCGACTTGTCGTCCGCAGCGCCTGAAGTCCAGAGAGCCACGACCCCCTGTGGCCGTGTAGTCCGGGGCTCTGCGCCCGGTAGCCACAGTGTGAGCACTCCTGGTAGTCCAGAGAGCCACGACCCCCTGTGGCCGTGTAGTCCGGAGCTTTGCGCCCGGTAGCCACAGTGTGAGCACTCCTGGGAGCACAGTGAGCCAGCTGCGCCTGTCGCCGTGTAGCCCGGGTTTAGCCTGGTAGCGTCAGTGCTGCGCACTCCTTTTTGTCCGTGTGTCTGCAGCTTCAGCCGTCGCCTCTCATCTTCTCGCCCCTCACAGTTTCTCCTCCTCCTCACTTGCCCTCTGTGATAGCCTCTAGCTTTGCTTATCATTGTGAACTATTGCTCTGTCTGCTTGTTGTGCTGATTATACCCCACTTTGACTATGGGGGTGTGTCAGAATGTGATGTTTGTCTTGTTGGAAACAAGTAGTTCTAAGCGCCTCTGTCGTGTCAAAACACCAAGTCAGAAGCGAAGCAAAGCATATCGAAACACCGGCGAGTCAACCCTCGGAGGTTGAGCAGTTGCTGGAGGTTACGCGAAAGTCAAAGGTCAGCGACCTTTGACCTGACAAGTACAGCACGACAGCAAGGACACACAACTGACTCGCTAAAGAGCAGTTGCCCGAGTCGTCACTGTATCGAACCGCAACAGCAACAGTAAAGTAGTTACAACCGTGTCTCTTCGTATTCCTTGTACTCTTATATAATCTTGTATCTCTTTGCTTTAATCAATCTACTTTGCCCTCACATACTAGCGCAAGGTGGTTCAAGTACTTCTCATTAAGCTTCCGCTAATTACAACAAGTCCTACCCAGAGTTCACTCCTGCAAAGATCCTAAGGGTTTTTCTCAGCCCAACATGGTATGAGAGCAAACAGGGGGAACTCAACTACTATCAAGTTATCTACAAAGTCAGAAGGCATGGCAACACAAAAGGAAAGGAGCTCCTCTAACGGCTCCCAGGGTACTACTCCTACTCCACCTCCTGCCTCTGGGCTGCAGACAGAGGAGGGCACGGCAACAAGACCAAGAGCAGCTTCTACCGAGACTCCTGCGAATCAACCTGCAGGCTTCGATCAGAGCATGATGGAGAAGTTTTTCTCCTTCATGTCCTTCTACGAGCAACACCAACAGTCGGCACCTGCGCAGTCGAACAACAGCAACAACAACGACGACGTGACTCCAATGAGCCTTGATGGTTCATCCTACGCACGAGGAAATCAACAGCAGCAACCTACCTTTGCTCCGTACGAGCCCCAGCGCGGCTCCGTCAGCTTTATGCCACAACCGCAACCTGCACCTGGACAAGAGAAGACACTGGACGCACTTCAAGTTCAGTCGCAGTTCGCACACGTCTTAAAACTGCAGACGTCAAGACCTTTCGACGGAAAGGACTTCTTTACCTGGTCGTTCGAGTTCGAATTAATGATGGAAGGCGCGCAGATTCTCGGCTTCTTCGACTGATCCCTGCCATATCCAACAAATGGCACACAATACGACAAGCAGCAGTACACCTACCAGTCAATGATGGCGTACACGGTTCTACTGAGGAACATCACTCCGAATCAGCAGCAGAACATACGGTCTTACCGGGGATACGGCAACTCCGCTGAACTCGCATACAGCCACTTGAAGAGCCTGTATCAAGCAACAGACAGCGTAAATCAGAGTCGGTTGATGGCGCAACTGACAACAGTCGAGATGAAACCGGGCGAAAAAGGAATGGCGTATATCAGCCGCTGTCGCGAATTGCGCGACAAACTCCTTCGATGCGGAGGGTCGATATCTGAAGAAGCCTTCGTCACAGTCGTCATCACTGGACTTGGTCCTCATTGGCGCTCCACTCGCGCCATACTCCGAGCTCACGGGAAGATCTCCGAAGCAGCACTTTGCGCCGAAATCCACGCCGAGCAGCAAGACATGGACCTGCAAGAGGAACGGCACAAGAAGAAAACATCAGTACCAGAATTCGCTTTTCACACTCAACGGCGCTACAACAACAACAACAACAACAACAACCGGCATCAGCCAAAACCTGTACCTCCGTTTTGTCATCTCTGCAAGACGTCAGGACATCCGCGCACAAACTGCCCGACTCGACAACAGTCAACACCGCCACAGCGACAGCTTCGACCTTCAAGCAGCCAAGTCGCCTCAACACAGGCGAACCCCACCGCTCAAGTTCAAACGACATCAACGGGACAACCTGCACAAGGAGCAAGAAACATCGTCAGCTGCATGGCGAGACTCTCCGACTCTTGCATCACCGGATCACCACCAACATACTCACCCGAAGAACTTCTTGACGAAAGGACGCCGCGCCGCGAGACACTGGAGCCAAATCCAACGTACGCAGCTATCGCCCAAAGTGAGCCATCCGGGAAGGACACCTGGTTCTTGGACAGCTGCTGCGGACAGCATATGTGCTCCTCGGGTCGTTTCGTTTAACGCGAACATCAACTCCAGCGAGACGTCGTTATCACCGTTGCCAACAACCAGAACCTGCGCACACGACGACAAGGCGTAGTGCAACTTCAGTCACGAGAAACAAACGTCATACTGCAGATGTCCAAGGTTTTAATAGCAGAAGGGCTCGGATACAACTTACTGAGCGTCAGTCAATTGATGACGAAAGGAATCCACCTCGAAGCAGACAGCACAACACAGGAGTTCAAGCTGTACCACGGAAAGGGTGGCCTCTACATCGGCAAGGCCGTACTAAAGAACAACGTGTTCGTCCTCGACTTCGTTCCAGACCTCGGCACCGCCGACAGCGACGGAATCGTCACCTTCACCTCCTGGACGCACCCACCAGATCTCGATCCAGACTTCAGCCCCGAAGGTTTCTGGTATTCACATACCATTCCTGAGGCAGAACGAACGCGAGCATTAGCAACGATTCAACACTCAGCAGCAGCAGAGACAACACCGACAGCAGCAGCAGCAGAGACAACACCGACAGCAGCAGAGGCAACATCGGCAGCAGCAGAGACAGCACCGACAGCAGCAGAGGCAACATCGGCAGCAGCAGAGACAACATCGGCACCAATCCCGGGTTCTTCAACTGCACCAGCTCCGATCGACGACGACACTCCACCGACCCCTGCGCAGCAACTGAATCCAACACCTCGCGAAGTACATCGAAGCGCAAACTTCACCGCCAGCTTCTACTCCAACTCCGACGAATACCGTCGCTCACCCGGACATCGCGCTGACGAAGATCTCTGGCACAAGCGACTGGGACATCCAAGCAACACGACGATAAACAACACGATACGAGCAGGTGTTCTTGAAAAAGATTCACTACTCTTACCCGACGGCAGAGAACTTCGACGAATGAGAGGAACTTGCTTCACCTGTCCAGAAGCTGACTTACTGCATCAGCCCTTCATCTCTCACCACAACCCGAGCGCACCCGCTTACGCACCACTCGAGAAAGTATACAGCGACATCCTGTATAATCGCGAACCTGGACAAGAAGCATACAACTACACCATCACGTTCATCGACGCCGCCACGTGCTATGTCTGGCATCTCAACCTCATAAGCCGCGACATGGCCTTCCAAGCTTTCGTCGCATGGCTTCCAGTAGCAGAACGAGAATCAGGCGTAAAACTAAAGAGCTTCCAGTCAGATGGAGCAGGAGAATACACGTCCCAGCAGTTCAAAGACTACCTGGCGGAACGAGGAATCAAGCGGCTCATCTCTCTCCCCTACGCCCATCAACAGCAGGGTGTAGCAGAAAGAATGAACAGGACCCTTCAAAACACCATGCGCAAGCTGCTACGTGGCATGCGGCTACCCAACCACCAGTGGCCCGAAGCAATGGACCACGCCGTCATGCTGCACAACTTACTCTCGTCATCATCGCTCCCGAACAACGCATCACCGCATCTGCTGTGGACAGGAAAACAGGGCAGCACCAAAATGTTACGAAATTTCGGCTGCATGGTACAGTACCGACCTCCATCTGCACGCGCTGGCCGTTTCTCACAACGTGCACAGTGGGGACTACACCTGGGCATCGAAAAGCACTACAACGCGTGGAAGATTTTTGACGTCCACTCAAAGGAAACAGTGGCAGCACGTGACGTCATTTTCTACGAACGACTCACTCTTTCGTCGTACCTGTACAACTTGGAGACCTCACGAGATGTCACAGGTGGATTTCGTGGGGACCGAGCCTTCGCTTCGGCAGAAGATGAAGCTGACCTGGACGAGCAAAACGTGGAAGGAGCCTCGGAGGAAGCCGGACCTCTCCCCTACTGCTCGGTTGATGTCCCGATGGACGACGAAAATCCACGCGACAGCATCAACGCCGAAGTATACTATCACTTCGCCGACAATGGTTACGTTACACCTGCACAAGTCAACACCGACAAAGCAGAACGCGTAGGACCAAATTTCAACCCAACACCAGAAGCGGGAGACGAAGCAGTTTATCCCGGGGACATAACACTTCCCCGCTACACACATAGTGGACTTCAAATCCTTGGCCTCGTCACCGCAGTTCACGGCGCAACCATTCCTAAGGAGCCTGCTACAGTTCAGCAGGCTCTGGGGGGGGAGCATAAGGAAAAATGGCACGAAGCCATGGACAAGGAGCTGAAAGCACTGGAAGAACGGAACACCTGGAAAGTTGTTCCCATCGGCGTCGCACGAAACAAGACAGTACTCACCGGGAAATGGGTCTTCCGTGTGAAGACAAAGGCAGATGGCACCATTGACAAGTTTAAAGCACGCTGGGTCGTACGCGGCTTCGACCAAGAACACGGACGCGACTTCACCGAAACATTTGCGCCAGTCAGCCGACACACCTCGCTGCGAATTCTCCTCGCCATCGCCGCCATGAAGAAGAAGAAGCTGCGGCAAATCGACGTCGCCAACGCATTTCTCTACGCACCTGTTGACGCAGAAATCTTCGTCGAGCTACCGCACGGGTCCAACGGAGAACCTAACCAAGTCTGTCAGCTGTTGAAGTCACTCTATGGCATCAAACAAGCCCCGAGACTGTGGCAGCAGTATCTCCACGCCCGACTCATTCGCATCGGATTCCGCCAACTACCTCACGACCAAGGCATGTACCGGCTCACCAAGGGCACCGACTACATCCTGCTGATCATCTACGTAGACGATTTACTCTACATCGGCTCAACCGACGGGTTCACCACCTGGTTCGAAGGGGAGCTGCAGCAAGACCTCACGCTCACAGTCTCATCCACCGTCACGCAATACCTCGGCCTCAACATTCAGGAAGAAGAAAACGCAATCTACCTCAGCGCCGCGAAATACGCCGACACCATCGCTAAACGCTTCGCACTCACGCCGACCACCATCTCTACGCCATATCGCTACGCGGCAGGAAACAACACGGAAGGATCCACTCCGCTAAAGCCCGTCGGAATACGTGACTACCAGAGAAAGCTGGGCTGCCTCCTCTTCGCAGCCGTCACCTGCCGTCCGGATCTGTCATACTCTGCAAGCCAGCTCGCTACTTACCTCAAGAAGCCTGAAGCGGATCACATGGCGGAACTCGACCGTGTTCTTCACTACCTCGTTAGCACTCCAACGATCGGCCTGACCTATCACAAGAACGGGACTACAGCACCTAAACTAATCGGCTACGTCGACGCCGATCATGCCGGCGACTCCGACAACAGACGCTCGCGCACTGGCTACATCTATCGCTTCGATCCCATCGGGCCTATCTCCTGGCAGTCGAGCAAACAAGAATTAATCGCCCTCTCTTCAGCTGAAGCAGAATATATCGCACTTTGCTCCGCCACCAAGGAAGGATTGTACCTTCGCGAACTTCTGGAGGAAGCCAAACTAGCCCAGTTACCGAATTTCACCCTGTTCTGCGACAACCAGTCGGCCATTCGCATAGCCAACAAAAACGGCTTCGCGAACAGGACGAAACACATCGCCCTGCGATACTTCTTCGTGAAGGACGAGATCGAGAAGGGGAGACTCGAGCTGTCATACTGCCCCACGACCGAGATGGCAGCTGACTACTTGACCAAGAAGCTCGGAAAGCAGAAGTTTGAGTACTGCATGCTGCTGACTGGACAGAGCCACGTCACCAGCAGCGACACTCTAGAAGCGAAGGGGAGTGTTGGAAACAAGTAGTTCTAAGCGCCTCTGTCGTGTCAAAACACCAAGTCAGAAGCGAAGCAAAGCATATCGAAACACCGGCGAGTCAACCCTCGGAGGTTGAGCAGTTGCTGGAGGTTACGCGAAAGTCAAAGGTCAGCGACCTTTGACCTGACAAGTACAGCACGACAGCAAGGACACACAACTGACTCGCTAAAGAGCAGTTGCCCGAGTCGTCACTGTATCGAATCGCAACAGCAACAGTAAAGTAGTTACAACCGTGTCTCTTCGTATTCCTTGTACTCTTATATAATCTTGTATCTCTTTGCTTTAATCAATCTACTTTGCCCTCACATACTAGCGCAAGGTGGTTCAAGTACTTCTCATTAAGCTTCCGCTAATTACAACAAGTCCTACCCAGAGTTCACTCCTGCAAAGATCCTAAGGGCTTTTCTCAGCCCAACATGTCTAGCCTGCAGTGGGGTACTCTATAGCGAGTACAACCCAATTAGGGTTTCCTATATGTATCTCAACTGCTGCAGTGTATCTCTTTCCTGTTTCTCGTTTTTGCCTGCTGTTTCGACAGCGTGTACTGTTGCCAGCCATCCAGGTGCCTGTACCGTGGGAGCAACAAGCAGGGGTTGCAAGCTCGGGTGCAGCGTTTCCATCCGGTGCAAGGCAAATTCGCATGCACTGGTTGGGCATCAATTGTACTCGTATCTGATCTGAACTTGAGCGAGGAGAGCCCTTCGTACATAGGTAGTCGACACTCGACGAGGTGTGCTTGGTTCTGCTCGAGTAGAGGGAACCAGTCGATACACAGTTAGCTCTCCCATTTTTCTGGTTCCAAGAATTTCTGGGTGTACACAACTGGGGGTATACATACTGGGCCTTGGTGTAACATATGGAATGTTCAGCCTTTTCCGACAAGAACGTGGAAAAGGGGTTTGCCCAGCATTGTTGTCAGGAGGTTCAGCATATCAGGAGCAGGCAGCTCAATTCTTACCGTACATTGATTAGGAGGTTCAGCATCTAGAACTCGGTGCAGTCACATCATGCTCTCCTCTGGTACACAACACTTCTCTAATTGGCTTGTTCCTGATAAATATACTTCGGCTCAATAGACGCAACTGCAGTTGAAACGAGGTATCGTCAAATGCAATAATCAAGATCAAGGAGCACAGAACTTCCAACAATGCCACCAGCCAGGTGGAGGAAAATTACTTCAAAATAATCGAGCTAGCTACAATGGTGCGATGTATATCCTATGCTCAGTGAGCTTTGATGAACATGACACCCTGCATTTACTTCTTCCAGAAGGGCTTCTGCTCACACAATACAAAAGACCGGAATCCAAATAACTTAGGCACGTCCGAGAGCCAAAGAACAAACAGCATGATAACGCGAATGGAGGAAGCAAGCACGACATCATAAACGAAACTTACGCTCTCAGTCGTCTTCTTCGCAGACTTGGACTGCGTCCCAGGCCTGGAACCCTTACCCTCCTTAAGGTTCACGAGGTCTGCACGACAGAAGCGGAATGGTTGAATGGCAAGTAAATATATGAGACGCGATAAGCAAAAGCCGGTAAAACATCATGAGAGTATTGACGTTCTGTCAGCAGCAATAACAAAATCAGAGACACACGCTCTAAAAAGAAGAGTAAGTCTTGCTGAAAGAAAACTCAAGACGGTGCGCAAATGCACAACTACCACGAAACGAGTTGGACGTGACAGTGTAACTAAAAAAGGAAGCTTCATGCACTTTGACGTACTGGAGTCAGTCTCGGTCCACGACACCCGCTTCACAGTTGCGTTATCGAGCCAGTCCATGAAGGAACCCTGCTCCTCCTTGCCCTTGGCCGCCAGGACCATAGGGGTCATGCTCATGGAGATAGTGGCCATGGCGGCACGTGGGGGAGGCTGAGGTGGATGGATGTGAAGACAGGAAGAAGGCGGTTTCTGGATCAGGGAAGCACAAGCAGGATGCAAAGCAGAAATGGGGGAGGGATGGAGGTGATGGAGGTGGCTGAGGCGTGCGGAGGCTGTGGAGAGGCTTGTGGGGGGAGGCCGTGGAGGTTTTGTGGCTGAATAAGGGGGGATGCGGGTCGCGGGAGAGTAGGTTGGGAAAGAGGGGCTGTTACCAAAAATTCGCGAAGGTTCTCCTCATGGTGGCGAAGAAGAAACGTCGAGCTCGTCAGCCACACGAACCAGCTGAGCAGTGTATCGAAGTAACACCAAAAGATACACTCGATGCCACGTCAGACAAGATCTGACTTTGCGCCAGCATGGCTGGATAGGTACCAGCCACATTTGCCGCCGAATCAGCCAAGGAAAATTTATCCGAAAGTGAATCAAGGTGTGTTGTACGAACTCCCGAATAATTTCTAGGTACAATCGGATGAAAGAAACCACAAGCTTCCGTGGCTTGTGGCGAGTATGGAATCGTTATGAACTGAACATTCTATGCAATCTGTGAGTGCGCTTACTACTGCGTTGCATACAGCAGATAAGCAACTTCTCATCACAGGGACCACTGAGGCGGGGAATTGACTAATATCAGTTAACATTGAAGCCATTGTGAGGAAGACAAGAAGGTTAACACCTGCACAACCTCACTCATAATTGGCCTCTTGAACGGGTCATTCACCAGGCACCATCTCGCCAACTCCGCCACCTTTGCAGCTGCTTGCTTCGGGTACTTATCCCCGAGCCTAGGATCCATAATCTTGGACAAATCCGCGCTATTGTGTAGGTACGGCCGCGCAAATTGAACTATATTGACTTCCGGTGGCGGTCGGCGCTGATCGATGGAGGGCCGTCCTGTGAGCAGCTCTAGAAGCACGACTCCAAACGCCCACACGTCATTCTTCGGTGTTAGACGGCCTGTCATCATGTACTCGGGAGCTGCATACCCTGCCGTGCCGCGCACCTGGTTGATTGGCAAAAGTTTGGGAAGGGGACAACCACAAGGGAGAGATTTGATTGGTTGGTGTGCTAGACGAAATCATACTGGTCTTTTGTAGATTCTAATCCCCCACACTGGCCTTTAGTAGATTCTTAAGTCACCAATCACCATCTCACCAATGGCGACTTTACACCCACCGTGACTCGTGACAACATCACATGCTACGACCCTCACCTGCGTTGACACGTGTGTCTCGTCTCCCATGGGCCCTTCCCTCGCGAGCCTGAAGTCAGAGAGCTTTGGGCAAAAAAGTACACAGAGTATTGAGACGGCTCAAAACTCATTACAACCCTCACCTGCGTTGACACACACGTGTGTCTCCTCCCCCATGGGCCCTTCCCTTGCCAGCCCAAAGTCAGAGAGCTTGGGGCAGAAATGGACTTCTGAAGCACTCTGAGTATTGAGACGCCTCAAGACCCCAACACAAGCCTCACCTGAGTTGACACGTGTGTCTCATCCCCCATGGGTCGTTCCCTGGCGATCCCAAAGTCAGAGAGCTAGGGGCAGAATTCCACGTTCAGAAATACAGAGTATTATTGAGTAGTCTCAACTCAAGACAACGCACGCCTCACCTGTGTTGACACGTGTGTCTCTTCCCCCATGGGCCCTTCCCTTGCCAGCCCAAAGTCAGACAGCTTGGGGCAGAAGTCTGCGTCTAGAAGCACGTTGGATGTCTTGAAATCACGGTAGATGATCTGGGTAGGGCGGAGAGAAGGGAGGAGCGGGATAAAGGAGAGAAAATTGAAATGAGTAAGAGCTTCGGGAAGAAGTCCCCTCACCGTCCCCAGAGCCACCTTGAGCCGCATGAGTGCACATACAGCATGCATCATGCAGCATGCATCATGCAGCATGCAGCACAGAGCAGCATGCAGCACAGAGCAGGCACTTCAGCAGCCCTTCATCCCCCACGGCACAACACTCACAGGGGCCTGGGAGAATGCTAAGAAAGCACTCACCGGGATCTGCACCTCCTCATGCAGGTGAGCCAGCCCTCTCGCAGTCCCCAGCGCCACCTTGAGCCTCGTCGCCCAGTCCAATGGCGGCAGCACCGCCTCTGCTGCTGCTGCCGCTTTCTTTGTAGAGTGCGAGTGGGGCGAGGCGAGCCTTGCACTCGCGCACTAGCGCTGACAACCAAAGAACCCAAACCAAGCACCCAAGGCACAGCACACTCACCGGGATCTGCACCTCCTCATGCAGGTGAGCCAGCCCTCTCGCAGTCCCCAGCGCCACCTTGAGCCTCGTCGCCCAGTCCAATGGCGGCAGCACCGCCGCCGCTGCAGCCGCCGCTGCTTTTTTCGACGAGTGCGAGTGGGAGGAGTGTGAGGAGGCAGATGCGGACGACGCATGCACGTTGTGATTGTGACTGCTGCCGCTCCGGTGGTGTTTACCGTGCTGCTGATGGTGGTTGTTAGCGTTGTTAGTAGCCGCAGCAGCGGCAGTGGTGGAGAGCGGTGCAAAGAGGTGCCGGTCGAGGGAGGAGTTGGGGAGGTATTCGTAGACGAGCAGGCGGCGGTGGCCCTCGGCACAGAAGCCAAGCAGCTTGACGAGGTTGGGGTGGTCGATTAGGCCGAGCAGCCGGACTTCCACCATCCACTCCTTGTGACCCTGATGGGGTGGAGCAGAGACAAAGAGGAAAGGGAGAGCAAGAGGGAAGTTGACAGGGGAGAGCAGTGAGGGAGTGGGAGGCGGAGAGGAGGCGGCAGTGGCCCTCGGCACAGAAGTCGAGGAGGTTGATGAGGTTGGGGTGGTCTATCAGACCCAGCAGCCGCACCTCCACCATCCACTCCTTGTGACCCTGCGAATGAGAGAATGGAAGGGAGAAACGAGAAGGTGGAGAGAAGGCGAAGCAAAGTAGGTGAAGCCAAAAAGTGTCACGAGGTTGGGGTGGTCTATGAGACCCAGCAGCCGCACCTCCACCATCCGCCCAGGCCTTGTGGTCCTTCTAGGAGACTTCAGAATTCTCAAAAGTAACTCCCTCCGCCCAGGCCTTGTGGTTCTGAGGGGAGACTTAAGAATTCTCAAAAGTAACTCCCACCATCCAGGCCTTGTCGACCTGTGGGGAGACGCGGAAACAATGAGACGAGAGGACCCTGGATGGGCGTGATAGCAAGAAGAAGGGTTACTGCTGGTGGGTGGAACTGGGTGGGAATGATAGTAACAAGGGAATAATGAAGGCGGGAAGGAGCTGAGTGGTTAATGTGTTTTACAAGTGTATTCCGAGGGTTTTCTTGCACTTCACAGGGTGCTCATAAATATCATAACAAAAACCCCTTAATCAGCTCTTTACAGCATGTGCGTTCATAGCAAACAAATATCCGCCTCTGGCTGGCTGTTCCCTCGTCTCCAGCAAACCCTAATCCATTCCATGCACCTTACCAGGAAGCCTTCTGAAAAGAGATATCTACAAAAGAAACGCCCATTCACTGGAAACCTCCTGAATCAAGCAATCAAGTCACCACCTCTTGCTGCTTAGCCCTCCGCGCTTCACCCCCTACTTGAGGATTCATCTCCTCCGTATCTCTCACCTGGAAAGCTGTAATTTTTATTTTCTCAACCAGAGGGCTTGCATTAATCGTTGAATTCATTTTTTTCCTCTTGCATACTCCTCAAAACTCCGTTCTTCTGTCACCTGGAAGCCCTTTCTTATTTCCTCAATCTCACCTATCGGCTCTTCAATTGACCCTTCTTCTCACCAGAAGGCTCTTCGACTCCAGCTTATTACTCGCCACATCTTGCCGCAGTGCCTTTCTCTTTGATGGGCTTCTAAATTCGACTGATATGTGTAGTTTATATAACCATTCTTATTATTTTAAGGCGCTTGAAATGACCTTATCTCACCTGAAGGCTCTTCGCGTCCAGCTTTTTAATCGCCACCTCTTGTTGCAGCGCCCTTCGCGATTCCCCCACCCCTCCGCCGTTAACCATCCCCACAGCAGCGCCTCCTCCTCTTGGTGATCCCCCCGATACCCCCGAAACCGCCGCTGCGGCGCTTTCCAGCGCGTTGCCCGCCGCGCTTGCCGCCGTGTTTGCCGCTCCCGAACCTTGCGAGCTTCCCGGCTTCAATACCCCTTTAAAGACCTTCCCGAACCCGCCGGCTCCTAGAAGCAAATCGTTCGAGAACCCCTTAGTTGCAGATTTTAACTCCGGATACGAGAACACGCGGAGATCCGATCGCCTAAGAACGTCATCTATCAGCAACATATCGCGCTGCATCGCACGGTCGTGCGGCCGCCGCGGCGTGCTTAAAGCGAGGGATTGATCGGCCCCGGTGCCGCCTATTGCTGCGTCTGGTGTCGCAGACAGCTGATCTGCCGCCGCTTCTCCCCCTGCCTCCGCCCCCGCCCCCGACGCCGCCGCAGCCGCTGCCTCTGTTGCAGTTCCGTTCGCGCCGCCGCCGCCGCCGCCGCCGCCGCTAGCCTTATTTTCTCCGGGCTTCACGAGAGGCGAGGGCGAGTTCATTTTTTGCGTGATCCGAAGCGCGAACGGATTAACGTTCGACCCGCTAAACATCTGCACCGAGGACCCTCTGCTGCCACCACCGTTACCACCGCTACCGACATGTCCGCCGCTTCCGGCGCCACCGCCGTTTCCGCCGCCGGATCCTTTATTGGTGAAATTGAAATTAAACGACCTGCTGTTACCGCCCCCGCTGCCGCCGGAGCTGCCGCCGCCAGCACTGCCATTAGCATGAACGCTCCCGACCGCTGACGTGCTGTGGCTTCGTCGAACCTGCCTCTGCTGCTGATGCTGCTGCTGCTGCGACTGCTGCGACTGCTGCCTGGGCGCGTGCGACGACGCTGGGCGAACAGGCGACGGAGAACCTACTCCGTCGCCGGGCGACGTTCCGTGCGACCCGCCGAGCGGCGACGGCGCGCGAACGCCGCCAGGGCTACCTAACCCTAACCCACCGTCATAGCTTCTCCGTTGCCTTTGCCCCGACGGCGGACCATTACTTTCCGTAACTAGCTCGTCTTCTATAATCTCCCCGGCTGTTCCGACCGAGCCGCCTCCAACTGACCCTCCTCGCGGCAAAGGCGGGCCCGATACCCCTGCCACCGACCCTGACAAGCTCCGAGGCACGTTTTGGCGGGGAGAATTAGAGGTTCGGGAAGGGGAATCGCCACACTGCTGTTGGTTGTTATACGGCTCGGAATCTTGCCTCTGAAGGAAGCGCGACGCGGCGGATGCCAGGGGAGCTTGGGACGAGGGGGAGCAGGAAAGGTTTTCATCCTCGATACTAGCATCTGCGAGAACGTCGCTTAGCGTAGGAGCGATAGGCGCGCGAGGCGAGGAGGTCAGGCTCTGCGGGTGGTGCGTCGGCGAGCCGAGGTAGTTGAAGAAACGGCTTCTGATAGGCGGATGACCCGAGGGAGTGCTACAGGCGGACGTGGGTGCGGAGACTGTTCCGCCTGCCCCATCATCACGCGGGTTGAATGATCCGCCTAGTCCAAAACACTTCATGAGCGAATGTTTCTGACTGGGTAGCTTTAAAGTGCCGGGAGTGTTGCGTTCAGCTGAAAGGAAACGCGAGGTTACCAGCCCGCCACGTAAGGGAACGTGATAACCTATTAGAGCGACTGTGGGAACAAATAGACCAGACCCCGTTGTGAAGGACTTCAAACCAAATGCTTCGCTTGCATTTCCATACCAAGGAGTCTTACGGCTCGCGGATCCATGCCTGGAGCTGTAGGTTGGACTCCAGATAGATAACCATGAAAATACTTGCGAGTTTCTGCCTTGGGAGTAGCGAGTGAGCCACAGGCAACTCGACTGGATGCTATGCTGTATTCCCAAAGCCCACCCCAAAGCTTGCCGCGATGCGGCCTCTGTGTCTACGGCCACAAAGCACAGCCTCACCCGCACAACCACAATCTTCGCCCTTGGGATTTTGTGAGTTACTGTACCCTGCTAAATTGTACCATACCGTACTCCGCTGTCAGTTTTTCGGGATTCCACGATTTCGCGAGCCCATGTTCTGAGTTCCCCCCTCGTGGAACAATGACCCCCTTGGAAATTTCGAGCGGAAGCCCACCCGCTTCGCGCGTGAACCTCCGGAGTCCAGAGGGGAAATGGAAGTGGTGGCGGAACAGATAGCGGGAATGGTGGTGGAAGCGCTGTACACCAACCGATCAGCCCCTCGCAATGCGCGGGACGTCGGCGGCGGAACAAGCTGATCTGTGGAGATTTCGTGTTTGCGGAAGAGGAATCGGCGGATTGCAGGCGAGGGAGATGGAGTTGGGCTCCGGGGTTCCCCTCCCCGTATACAACCAGAACAGCTCAGACAGGTGGGGCTGACGAGGCGAGGCGCGAAAGATCGTCAAATTTGGACCGTCGGATTTGGAATTGGAGGTGCAAGCAGTCCCAAAGCAATGATACAGTGAAACCATTTTCTGGTAATAGACGACAGAGGAGCCAAGTGGGAATAATCTGCAAAGGCGGACGTGGTTCGATGCTCCCAGCTGAAGCAATAACCGAGGGTATTCACAGACGACACCAGGCAGGTTTTCTTCCAGGACTTCACACCGACCAGAACTAGTCGACGCTTGGCAGGGGTTTTGGTGGTTATAAAACTTCTCAGAAAGCCCTCGAAAGTTCTCCACACGATAGTTTCGTGGACACTCTTGTACCGTGCGGCCCGTCCTTTCCGTGGCTGCTTTTGACTCGCATTGGAGACTCCTCGAGAGAACGTGAGGCCCAACTCCACGTGATCGAAGTGAAGCCTCATAAGTGATGCAAACATCCTCGCCATTAGCGCACTCATGGACAATCGCATATTATCGAAAAAAAAAACATAAATAACTGACAGCATAAGAAGGAAACACGAACACTCGCTAGCTCCACTTACAACCATTGCAGCAGACCTCTAGTAACTATTCCACTACAGGCGTATTGGCGCTCACTAAATTCGCACATGACACAATGCCATGCTAGCCGTTCCTAGGAACCCGACTTTCTTCTCGCTGGCATTGTCTAGGCGTGCTAGCCTGCTAGCTTCTCTCGAGCAGGGCAGCCGACACATCGGCAGCATCGTCTGCACGGGTGACCTTTATCAAGCATGCCCACATAATCCTTACACTGTCTGCTCGTCGACCAAGTTATCCAGAGGCTATACGACCAGCAGCATTAGGCGATTCGCCAACGCACGATTCGCGAACGCTCAATTTGCGAACGCGCGACTTGCGAACGCACGATCAACGATCGCAACAATGGTGTGGGCGAAAGACCCTCAGGGAGGCGAGCCTCGTGACCCGGCGGAGCTCGCAGCCTTATCCGCCATCCACACTCTCCAAGAATCCGACAAACCGGTTCCTAAACTCGTCGTGTTCGATCTAGACTACACCCTATGGCCCTTCTGGTGCGAATGCCGGAGAAAGAGCGATAACCCGCGCTTGTATCCTGAAGCGGGTCAGGTTCTATCGGCTCTCGCGGCTGCGGGGATCCCCATCGCCTTCGCGTCGCGTACGCCGACTCCGGACATAGCCCGGGTGTTTCTGGACAAATTAGGGTTTCAGATGGAGGACGGTGGCAACTTTAGCAGCGGACATGGCAGTTCTAGAGGGCAGGGGAGCGGAAGGAGCAGCGGCAGAAACAGTAGCAGCCAAGGCGGCAATGTCGATGGAAATGCGAACGAGGTGAAGCGTGTGGTACGAGCGGCTGAGATCTACCCCAGTATGACCCACAAAACGGAGCATTTCGAGGCGATCCGGAGGCGAACGGGGATCGCGTATCGAGACATGCTGTTCTTCGATGACGAGTCGAGGAACACGCGGGAAATCGGATCCCTGGGTGTAACGAGTGTGCTTGTAGACGATGGTGTGACTGTAGACACGCTGAAGTATGGGCTGGCGCAGTTTGCGAAGAAACATGAGGAGTCTCCTACAAGAAGCCATTAGGTTTTAAGGATATGCGTAAGGGTGCAGTCTGAGAACCTAGGGGCTTCACTTCACTATGTCATCTGCTGGTGATGTGAAGCTGGAAGTTGGGGCAGCTGGTATTCAAGAAGCTGTCTGATACCGATGCCAGTGAACCTTTGTCTGCAGCTCTCAAGAAGCTGGGCGCTTATTCCATGTGTCTGCATGGCATGGCATCCCTTGTCGTACCTATTTATATAATGTAGGAGTGCGGATGCCGTGGCTGAATGGACACACCTACGGTAGGTATAAATAAAAACACATCTGTAACACAGGCCATGGCACTGCAATGCTGATTGTACAGTGTAATGATTTGTCCATGCCGCTAGCAGAGTCGTTTGTTTATGCTCCTTTCTATGCTCTGAGTTGTGATGATTTATCATGCAGCGGCATCTCCAGCCCCTCAGGTGGCCTCAGATACCTCTGCACCCCAACATACGTCTCGATTCGGTTAACCACCGGCGCCACGTCAGCATCGTTTAAAGCCTGCAGCTTGCCCCGGTACTCATTCCCCACCACATCTAGCAGCTTCAGGAACTGGGAGCGGTATGTCAGGTGCATGCGGTAACCAGCAATCTGCAGGGCAGGGGTAGGGGTCGGAATAAGATAGGGATAGGGAAAAGGAGAAGGGATGATTCGCAAAAGGAAACTCGGAAAGACCTTTCTAATTGTTTATTTGCTTAATTGTAAAATATAAGTGGGCAGTACACTCGACTGATGACAATGTGTTGTTTTACGTGAGAAAAAGACCGCTGACTAGCATTATCGTGACACCTACCGTAAGTACTAAGTACACATACCTTGAGAAATACTTCCAAAGCGGTGGCCGATGCCCGATTGGCTGGAAGGTGGTTCAGCAGGCGGGCACACCACTGCCATGCATGGGACAAGCCAAAGGGGTGCACTGCGGTGCCAGGTGGTGGGAGGGTCTGGAACAGAGGACAAGAGAAGGGAGGACACAGAGGGCGATCGAGTTTTGAGTTGACTCTGGTGCCACTCAGAGCAGCCAAACACACCACTGCCATATATGGGAGAGCCAAAGGGGTGCGGTGTGGTGCCAGGAGGTGGAGCAGTCTGGCCCGAAAGGGAAACGAGGAGGGGGGTATATAATAGGAAAGAAAGGGGGTGCTGGACAAACAACAGCGACGAAAAATGTGGGAGCTTGAGCAATGCTCCAGACATGAGAAAATACTTCCTCTAGTGTTGTGTGCACCATACCTGAGATATAGCAGCCGAAGTATCGAGTCAAATTGACCTCTACATTGACGTTCCGGGGCAGGAATACCCGCCATGAGTCTACCCTGTCATCCACTCTTACACAGCATGCCTGGCATACAGCAGCCATGAGCATACCTGGTAGAGAGCAGCCATGAGTGAAATGTATCTTGTCATCCTCGCTATAAGCGTACCTGGCATATAGCAGCCATGAGAATGATGTACCCTGTCATCCTCTCTATAAACGCATCTGTCGACTCCATTCGCTTCTTCCCACCCTCCCCCTCTTCCTCCCTGTACCCCAAATCGCGGTAATAGGCGTCGTCAGAGGGGTAAGAGGCCTGCGCCACAAGCAGGGTTGATATAAAGGGGGGGAGAAGGTGATACAGGGGGATTATCATGGAAGGATCTGCTTCTTCCCACCCTCCCCCTCTTCCTCCCTGTATCCCAAATCGCGATAATAGGCGTCGTCAGAGGGATAAGACGCCTGGCAATGACAATCATCAAAAGGGGATGACATAGGGGGGACAATAAACGGGGGATTATAGATGGGGGATTAAGACCTTTCTGCCCTCCCCCTCTTCCTCCCTGTACCCCAAGTCACAGCAGTAGGCATCGGCTGACAGGTAACAGTCCTGCGACATATTAGGAGTCATAACTTATAAGGGGATAACAATGAGGGTTTACTATACAGGGGTAGTAACGACGATCTCAAAGAACATTGCGCCATAGTCAAGTGAATACAAAGAGCATACCTCGGAGAAGACATAGTGCTGCGGACCGGTATAGATGCAGGTCTCGTTTCAGGCTTGCAATCAATGCTTCCATGGCTATGGGCGCCTTTTGGGGCGCCTCAAACGTCAATACAAAGAGCATACCTCGGAGAAGACATAGTGCTGTGGAACGGTGTAGATGCAGGTCTCGTTCAGGCTTGCAATCAAGCCTATCTTTGAGGTGCCTCAAAATACTCAAGTCAATACCTAGAGCACAGCATACCTCGGAGAAGACACAGTGCTGCGGAACGGTGTAGATGCAGGTCTCGTTCAGGCTTGCCATCAACGCTTCCATGGCAATGGGCGCCTGCAGAAAGAGAGAGCAAAAGAGAGGGGGAGAGAAGAGGTAGCCATTTTGGAGAAACTAAAAGCATTTTTTTTATTTTTTTTTTAAGAGATAAAAGAAAAGAGATCTCACCTGAGTGGACACGTTCAAAATGACTTGCGCGAGAGCGAATGCGAACGGAGGTAACTTGGTAACTTGGGACTCAAAAGTGGTTGAAGCATTTAATTTAACCCAGGCAGGACGCCAAGAGCATACCACAGTGACTCACCTGAGTGGACACGTTCACGATGACTTGCGCGAGAGCGAATGCGAATGGCGGTAACTTGGTAACTTGGGACTCGCACTGGGATAGAATCTGGCTTGAGGGGTACACGGCATGAAGGAGGGGAGTGTCCAATGAGACCCATGAAAGAATGGTTAGTTTCTGCATGTAGAAGCACCAAAGTGGCTCAAAGTCAGCGCGTGTAGTGGTTAGTTTCTGCATGTAGTGGCTCAAAGTCAACGCATGTAGTGGTTAGTTTCTGCATGTAGTGGCTCAAAGTCAACGCACGTAGTGGTTAGTTTCTGCACGTAGTGGCTCAAAGTCAACGCACCAACCAACACACGCAGAAGCCAGTTCAGAACGGCAACTCGGTAAACATCATCTCAGCAACGTGCCTAAGCCAACACAAGTTGTGGCTTTCAGAGTGAAGTGAGCAACGCACCTTGGAGGCGAAGGTGATTGCGACGAACGTCTGGGGAAGAGACGGGTCCCGCAGGAGACATGTAAGATCACGGTATACTTGTTTTTTTTTTCCCTCCAATTTTGAACTAACTCTAAGAGATGAATCGAGCAACGCACCTTGGAGGCGAAGGTGATTGCGACCAACGTCTGGGGAAGAGATGGGTCCCGCAGGAGGGCCGTGAGATCAGCAGACCTCTTACTTAACTTGTATATAGAATGTGAATCGAGCAACACACCTTGGAGGCGAAGGTGATTGCGACGAACGTCTGGGGAAGAGACGGGTCCCGCAAGAGGGCCGTGAGATCAGTAGACTTCTTGCTGCGTGATTGGTTGCAGAAAAAGGGGAAAAGAAAACCCATTTAAGGGACACATAATTAAGAGCAAAGACCAGTGAAGGAACAATGGGAGGCGGATGACTAGACACATTTTGTTTCTTTCATTATTGAGGCACCTGATTAACGTGATTACGCTATTTAAGAAACGGTGCATTTTGCATGCCATGCCAGCCAGCCATGACTACCCACTCTTGGTCCAAACTGAACCGAACAGAACGAGCCTAGAGGCTAGTCTCCTAGTGCTTTATATAAAAGGAAAAGAAAATCAAACACACGCACGCACGTGCACACACACACACACACACACACACACACACACACACACACACACACACACACACACACACACGCACGCACGCACGCACGCAGACACGCGAGTGCACAAAAAGAAATAAAGTACATGTGCACCGGGTCATGGCACATGATCACATCGTACCACATCACGCTGACACATGCCAAATTAATTTGGTCATGCCACGTCATGGCAGGTCATGCCTCGTCATGCCAGGTCATGCCACGCCATGCCAGGTCATGCCACGTCATGTTGGCAATCACACATCACTTACGCGATTTGGTCGTGCGAGGCGGAGATTTGCTGAACCAGCAGAATGATTCGCCGCTCCACAGTCTTGCGGTCCTGCGGTGCGATGCGGTGGAACGGAGTGGGATGCGGTTGAATGCAGTCTGATGCGATGAATGTGATGCAACGAGATGCGGTTTGATGCAAGGAAAATCCAACGTGGTGGGACGAGATCGATTACGGTAAGATGCGGTACGTTCGGCGTGATGCAGTTTGGTGCATTGCGTTGCATTGCGGTGCAACTTTTGAGAATTCTATATTGGAGTGACTTTTGAGAATTCTCAAAAGTCACTCCAATATTGCATTGCGGTGCAACAAAGCATGGACGGAGGAGCCCATGCATTCGCCCTGCCCTCACCTTCACCCAAGCTTTGCCAGCCATGCCATGAGGGGCAGCAATCCCTTCCCGCATGCCTTCAGCCGTGTGAATGCGGTGGGGTACGGTGCGATGCGGTCCAATGCATTGCATGGCAACGCAACAACAGAGCAAACACGCCCTCACCTTCTTCCTTGCATTCTCAGCCCTGATGGGAGCGATTTGATTGAGCACTGCCTTGAGCAGTGTGAATGAGGTAGGATGCGGTGTGATGTGCTATTCCACCCACCCATTCTTCCACCCACCCCCGCCCTGCTCTCACCTTCTTCCTTGCGTTATCAGCCATGATGGGAGCGACCTCATCACGAAACTCCCTCAGCCGATTAAATGCGGTGGGATGCGGTACCATGCGGTCCAGTGCTTTTCACCCATTCGCCCTGCTCTCACCTTCTTCCTCACATTATCAGCCATGATGGGAGCGAGCGATCTCATCACGCGGTAGCCCTGCTCTCACCTTCTTCCTTGCGTTATCAGCCATGATGGGAGCGAGCGATCTCATCACGCGGTAGCCCTGCTCTCACCTTCTTCCTTGCGTTATCAGCCATGATGGGAGCGATCTCATCACGCGGTAGCCCTGCTCTCACCTTCTTCCTTGCGTTATCAGCCATGATGGGAGCGATCTCATCACGCGGTAGCCCTGCTCTCACCTTCTTCCTTGCGTTATCAGCCATGATGGGAGCGATCTCATCACGCGGTAGCCCTGCTCTCACCTTCTTCCTTGCGTTATCAGCCATGATGGGAGCGATCTCATCACGCGTCGCCTTGAGCCATGTGAATGCACTGTGGTGTGGTGAGATGCGGTGTGATGCGGTCCAGTGCGTTTTCACTCGATAGCCCTGTTCTCACCTTCTTCCGTGCGTTATCAGCCATGATGGGAGCGATCTCATCGCGCATCGCCTTGAGCCGTGCCAGCCTGGCCCCTGCCTCCTTTGCCGCCCCCTCAGCCACTCGCACTTTGGAACTCCTCTGCGCTGTTGGGGGAAAGTATTTGTAGGGGAAGGAAGAAAATATGAGTCAGTGTTGGTTTTTGTTTTTGTTTTTGTTTTTTTTGGAAGGTAGTCTCAGAAGGAGCCAGAGAAGAGTGAATGGTGTGCACGGTGTGATACGGGATGGGACAGACAGACAGGCAACAAACACCAACACCCTGCATGTCGGCGCCAGAATAGTCGACTCGAGTTATCTTTGACAATCCCCAACAGCATTCCTTCTGGGACCTGTATCAGTGGCCCACTCCTCCTCTCCTCCCATCATCGCATTTCGCTTGAATGCCCCATCATCGTGTTTCGCTTGAATGCCCCATCATCACCCCCCATCACCGTATGTCACCACTGCTCACTCACCCCCCCTTCCCCACCCTCACCTTGCTTCTTTTTTGCTTCCGCAGCTGCAGCTGCTTTCGCCTGGAATGAGGGGAGTGTGGAGCAGCAGAGGGAGGGATAGGTGGATGTATAATAACCACGTGAACAAAGTCACAACAAGGAATCAAATGCAAGCCACACACACATAGGAATATGGTCACACACAAGCCCACCTAACCCAGAGATGTTGCAACATTGCAGCCCTCAAATTTCCCATCTCTGCTGCTGCTCTTGCATCCGCTGCATCAGCAGCAGTTTTCCCTCCTGCTTGCTTCCACCTCCTCCTGCTGCTACCTTGGCTCAGCTCTTGAGTCCCGCACCTCAACCCAACCCAACCCAACCCAACCCAACCCACCTCTGCCGCTGCTCTCGCGTCTGCTGCATCAGCAGCTGCTTTTGCCGCCTGGGCTGACCTTCTGTTCGACTCCACCTCCTGCTGCTGCCTCTCCACCTCCCTCTTCCGCTCCTCCTCCTTCCTCCTCTCCTCCTCTTCCTTCCGCCGTCTCTCCTCTTCCCTCCTCCTCCTCTCCTCCTCCATCTCCCTCTGCTGCTTTGCCCGAAGCTCAGCTTCGATCTCGGCTCGGCGCCGAGCCTCTGCCGCTGCTGCCTCTCTCCGAAGCTGCGACTCCCCAGCCTGCAGAGAAACGAATGAACAGGTGCAAGGAGATGAGATAAGAGGAAAGATATATCATATAACCTCGACTTTGGAGACGTCTCAAAAAAGGATTTAACCTCTTCTTGAGGCATCTCAGAAGCTGCGACTCCCCAACCTGCAGTGAAACGAATGAACAGGTGCAAGGAGATGAGATAAGAGGAAAGATATATCATATAACCTCGACTTTGGATTTAACCTCTTCTTGAGGCATCTCAGAAGCTGCGACTCCCCAGCCTGCAGTGAAACGAATTAACAGGTGCACGGAGATGAGAGAGGGAGAATGTAATGGTCTGACCTCTAGTATTGCCTGGTTATCAATTCACTCTGGTACCACTGCCTTCTGGTTACCAGTAACTTCTGGTTACCATTGTTTTCTGGTTGCCACTAAATTGTGGTTACCAGTAACGTCTGGTTACGACTGACCTCTGATTTCTGCTCGTGCTCCTGAGACAGTCGACGGATGTGAGAATCCCTCATCTCTTCCCTGTTTGCACGCATGCACCCATGCACCAATGCACACATACACACGTGTACACACACACACATGCACACACGCATACATTCACAAACGCACACAAACACACAAAGATACAACAAGAGAAAACATTGAAACACTACTTCATCTCAACATGCCTAATCCCCCAATCTCACCAATCTCACCAATCTCACCATCCCCCCCCACCACCCTTTGCTGCACGTCAATCACACGCCCATTCCCTTTGCCATCATTCACCCCCACTCACACGACCTGCCAGTGCTCTCTGTCAAGCCGTGCCAGTGTGGCCTGCACCGCCCCTCGCTGTGCCTCATTCATACACCCTTCCGTAGTCATCAGTCACACTCGCACACCCTATCTTGCACTCACACTGCCTGCCAGTGCTCCCTGTCAAGCCGAGCCAGTGTCACATGCACTGCCTCTCGCTGTGCCTCAAACACACGCCCATCCCTCTCATCATTCACCCCCCTCACAGTCACCACCACTCACACCCTCTCCCCCTCACCCCCACTCACACGGCCTGCCAGTGCTCCCTGTCAAGCCGTGCCAACGTTGCCTGCACCGCCTCTCGCTGTGACTCATTCACACGCCCATTCTCTCTCATCAGTCACACTCTCTCTCATCAGTCACACTCGCACCTTCACCCCCACTCACACGGCCTGCCAGTGCTCTCTGTCAAGCCGAGCCAGTGTGGCCTGCACCGCCTCGCGCTGTGCCTCCACCGCTGCTACAGCTGCCCGCCCCCTCTCCCGCTCCGCCATCAGCCTCCCCTCCAACCGCACCCGCCTCTGCCTCACCTCCTCCTGCGGAACCGTGAGTGTGTGTGCGGGTGGGGGGAGAGGGGATGGGGGAGTGGGGAGCGGAAGAGAAACGGGGTGGAAGGGGGTGAGTTGGGTGTAAGGGAGCATCAGAGGTGGTTGGGGAGGGAGAGGGAGGATGAAGGAGGTTCATTCATAAAACACAGCAAGACTGTGCCTCCACCGCTGCTACAGCTGCCCGCCCCCTCTCCCGCTCCGCCATCAGCCTCCCCTCCAGCCGCACCCGCCACTGCCTCACCTCCTCCTGCCAAGTCACGTGAGGGAGAGGGGGGTGGGGGATGGGGGGGGGAGGGGGATTATGCTCGTGGAAAGGGGAGGAGGAAGGGGCTACAACAACGCACCTCATACCTCTAAAACACCACCCCACGACGCCACCAAGACCAAGTACGAACCTCCACCTCAGCAGCGACCGACCTTCCGTTCCACCTCCCCCAGTTCCACCTCCCCCAGTTCCACCTCCCCCAGTTCCACTTCCCCCAGTTCAGCCTACCCCAGTTCCACCTCCCCCAGAAGCTTTAGCACACCTGACACCTAAACCACCACCACACGACCCCATTCCAATATCCAAGCACGCACCTCCACCTCAGCAGCTACTTTCCGCTCCACCTCCCCCAGTTCCGCCTCCGCCCGCCTCACAGGCCGCGCCACTGGCCTCTCCGCGTCTAGCGCACTCCCCCTTCCGCCGAAACTCCCCCTCCGCTTCCCCCCATCTCCGCCGACTCGTTCCCCATTCCCCCCGTCCCCCTCCCCGTCTGAGCCGCTAGAGTCGCTGCTGCTAAGGCTGATGTGGAACGACGCTTTCCGCGGCTTCTTTCCGCCGCTCCCCAAGCTTTTCCGCCTGTCCTTCCCCGCGCTACCCGTTTCCGCGCGCGCGCTAGGAGGCGAATAGAAGTTTCCCCCTAACCCTCCGCCGTATCTCGTCTCCTCCCTCTCCTCGTCGCTGCTGCCGCTGCTGCTCGCGGATCCTCGACCGGCCGTCATCCACGCCGGGGATCGCGCCGGAGATCGCGCGGAGTTTCCTGGTTCTGCCGACCAGCAGGGGACAGCGCCAAATGCGCCGTCTCCGAAGACGGCGGGTGCGCCGGCGGTGCCAGCTGATCCAGTTTGGAGACGACGCGATGCATTCGCCGAATATTCCGCCGCATGTCGCGGGCGGATCTTGGCGGGAACTGGGCCTGTGCGCCGTTGGATTGAGTCAAGCTCGCGGTTAAGATCGTCTAGGGACCAATGGGAATGGGGATCGAGTGCCACGTGGCCATTCATTACGTAGAAGGGTCTCAAGTAACGTGATGGTCTTCTACAGTATGAATGACCATTACTTCTACAGTAACGTAGATAAACACAGCTGGTTGTGGCTAAAGATGGTCCGAACAGTGTCGATTCACTCAAAAGTTGCGGCTGACGACTTGATGCGACGCGCTGACGACAGTGACGACCTCACGACAATACAGTGCACGAAGGCGCATGTCGCACGCTGCGACGATGCTTGTCACAGCGAAACATGTACGCGTTACACGACTCACAGTGAAGAATCCGACAGAGGATTTGTAGTAATTTCCTACATTCAATTGATTGGCAATATCAATGGGTAGGAGAGATAAGCTTCCACATGAGTTGCTGGCAAACCCTTTTAGCTGTTTCATACGAATGACAACACCAGCCTTAAGCACCGCATGAAATCTGTTTTAAACATCTGAAAGCGATAACGTACATAAATTGTACCGTATGACACAAAATCATTTTACCTTCTCTTACCTTTTCTCCCTTTCCTGCCGCTCCTACTCCCAAGCTCCTCTTCTTCCTCTTTCTCAATCAACTCCTCAAGATCCTTCCATTCATCTTCCCCTCTCGAACCAGAAGTTTCACTCTTGTCTCCATTTCCATTCCTCCTCCCCTTCCTATCCAATATCACCTCTGACCTACCATCCTCTCCCACTCTTCCAGAAGCTTCGGGTGCCTTTTTAGCAAAAGCAGTCGATACCACCTGACCTACAGGTGGGCCACGGCTGATATCAGGTGGATTTTCAGTATTTTCTGGAGAAAGCCGGACATTTCTCAAAACGTTTTGCCCCACCTCAGATAGAGATACTGGTATGTCTGCAGCATCTTCTCGTCTTCTGGAACCCACAGGCGCTGCTGACCTGGCACTCGTCACAACTGACCTGGCAGTAGGTTCTGCTGACCTGGCAGCAGCAGAGGCAAGGGAAGCACCACCAGAGGACGTCTCTCTCCCCAAAATATCTGCTTGTTCGGAAAACCTTAAGCGCGAATCTGGACGGGCGGCAACAGCTCCTTGAAAGCGCCTTGAACCTTTATCACCACTATCTGCAGCTGGCAAGGCAGCAGCAGCAGCACCAGCAGCAGCAGCAGGAGTTTCACCACCACCACTGGTGCTACCACCAACACCACTGCCACTACCACCACCACCACCACCACCACTGCCATTATCACTAGTCAGAGCACCCGCACTAGCAGCAGGGGTCTGGGGGGCGCGCAGGGGGACGAGCATGAAGTTGAGTCCGAGCACCTGGGCGGCAAACTTCTCCTCAGGACAGCTCAGCAGATACACCAGCTCTCGTTGCCTCCGACTCCTCTCCCTGCTCTTCTTCCTGGCCTCCTCAGCACTGCTCATGCTGCCCCTGATGCTAGTGCTGCTAGTGGTGGTCACGGAGGTGCAGCTGGTGCTGGTGGTGGTGCTGGTACTGGTGGTACTGCTGCCACGTGGCGGGCCGCGACTGGCCAGCACGCGCAGGCGGCGGCGGATGCGGGAGTCGAGGGCATAGCTGAAGAGCTTGGGGAAGAGCACCAGGTCGGAGCGCGTGCGTGGGTAGTAGCTGCTGCTTGTACTGCTGGTGCTGCTGGTTCTGCTGCTGCTCGTACTGCTGGTGGTGGTGCTGCTGCTGCTGCTGCTGCTGGGGTTGCTGCTGCTGCTGCTGGTGCTGGTGGTGCTTTCTCCACTCTTCTCCACCCCTTTTTCCTCCTCCTCGAGCCAGAAGTCCAGCTTCGGCCGAAGCACCGCGGCAACGCTGTAGCCCAGGAGCGGTGGGTACCGAACCACCATGCCTGCCACGTCAGCACGGGAGAAGCCTCGGGAGTAGAGGTAGGAGATCCTGACACGTGGAGAGAGGGGGGGTGGAGAGAAAAGAGGCCAGTGAAAGGGACGGGAAGAGGATTGAGAAAAGGGAAAGAAAAAGACAGGAGGGAAAAAAGATGGAATGAGGAAGCAAGAGGAGGGAAGAGGAGAGAAAAGGAGGGCAGAGGAAGATAGGCATCTAGGCGTCTATGTTATCCCTCATCCACCCCTCACCCGTCCCTCACAGCAATACTCACCTGCCCCGCATGCCCGTCACGCTCATGGTGAGCAATTCGGGAAAGCGGCACACCACACAGACACCACACGTTGGGGCCTCACCTGTTCCTCATGCTGGTGACGCTCATGGTGAGCACCTCAGGGAAGCGGCACACCACACGCGCCACCTCTTCTGCTGCCGTCACGCCCACCTCCCCCTTGAGGAATGCTACCTTGCCTTGCATCACCGCGGGCGAGAGGCAGAGCAGACATGCTGTGACAGTGACACCCTGCACTCTCTCACACACACAGACTATCTGAGTTTACAAGCCCCACATTAGGGCCGCATGTTGGGGACTCGCCTGTTCCTCATGCTTGTGACGCTCATGGTGAGCACCTCAGGGAAGCGGCACACCACACGCGCCACCTCTTCTGCTGCCGTCACGCCCACCTCCCCCTTGAGGAATGCTACCTTGCCTTGCATCACCGCGGGCGAGATGCAGAGCAGACATGCTGTGACAGTGACACCCTGCACTCTCTCACACACACAGACTATCTGAGCTTACAAGCCCCACATTAGGGCCGCATGTTGGGGACTCGCCTGTTCCTCATGCTTGTGACGCTCATGGTGAGCACCTCAGGGAAGCGGCACACCACACGCGCCACCTCTTCTGCTGCCGTCACGCCCACCTCCCCCTTGAGGAATGCTACCTTGCCTTGCATCACCGCGGGCGAGAGGCAGAGCAGACATGCTGTGACAGTGACACCCTGCACTCTCTCACACACACAGACTATCTGAGCTTACAAGCCCCACATTAGGGCCGCATGTTGGGGACTCGCCTGTTCCTCATGCTTGTGACGCTCATGGTGAGCACCTCAGGGAAGCGGCACACCACACGCGCCACCTCCTCTGCTGCCGCCACGCCCACCTCCCCCGTGAGGAACGCTGCCTTGCCTTGCATCACCGCAGGTGACAGGCGTTTAGCGTCGACTCATAACTTGCCTTGCAGCACGATCGGCGTCAGGCAGAGCAGGCAGGCTGTGACATCCCGCACTCTCTCACACACACAGACGATCTGAGCTTGAGAGCCTCACATTAGGGCCGCATGTTGGGGTCTCATGTTAGGGCCGCATGTTGGGGTCTCACCTGTTCCTCATGCTTGTGATGCTCATAGTAAGCACTTCAGGGAAGCGGCACACCACACATTCAGCAGCACTTCATGATCCATCATCCACCCCTTAATCCTTCATCTACCCCTCACCTGTTCCTCATGCTTGTAACACTCATGGTGAGCATTTCAGGGAAGCGGCACACCACACGCGCCACCTCCTCTGCTGCCGTCACTCCCACCTCCCCCTTGAGGAACGCCGCCTTGCCACGCAGCACCACGGGTGAGAGGCAGAGCAGACCGGGGCAGCGGAAGATGAGGTGGGCCAGCTCGTGGGAAGGAATGGAGAGGTTCTCTTGTAGCCAATCCAGAGACTGAGGGGAGGGGGTAGGGGATGGGGGTACCGCAGGGGAAAGAGCACTTGTGTGAGGGAGACCGCCTTGCCTTGCAACAGGGCGAGCGAGAGGCAAAGCAACGCAGAGCGAGAGGCAAGACAGAGAGACAGAGGCGGCCATTTCGGTGCGGAAGGCGAGGTGCGGGTGGAGAAGGGGAGGGGTCTTTTACTGGCAAGCAGGCAGGGAGGGGCAGGCGGGGAGGGGCAGGCGGGGAGGGGCAGGCGGGGAACAGTTGTCCCATCTGCAACAGAGCACCCTCGTGAGAAGTGAATAATGGAAAAACCACCCCCATTCCATCTGACCACACCCACCTCCCCCAATCCCTTCGATCAGACCCACCTCCCCCAGTTGGTGCCTGGGGCGGCACAGCAGCGACGGGCGTCGGGCAGGCAGAGAGCACCCGCACCATCTGGGGCAGACGCAATTGTTTGAGCCAACAATCTAGTGGAGGGAGTAAGTGCGCTGGGCACCAGACAGACCCACCTCCCACCTCCATTCAAACAGACCCGTCTCCCCAGTCAATCACACCCACCTCCCCCAGTTGGTGCCGGGGCCGGCACAGCAGTGACGGGCTGGCAGAGAGCACGCGCACCATCTCCAGCATGTGCCGCACATGGTCAACTCTCGTGGGAAGTGAATCATTCTTGTCAACCCCCACCCTACCCGATCTCAACACACCCACCTACCACATTCCATATCAGCAGACCCAGCTCCCCCATTCTATATCAGCAGACCCACCTCCCCCAGTTGGTGCCTGGGGCGGCACAGCAGCGAGGGGCTGGCAGAGAGCACGCGCACCATCTCCCCGCGCGTCAGCCCCACGCCCTGTAGGAACACGCCAGCTGGCGCGATGCTGTTGGCCGGAGAGAGCGAGAGCAGCTCGGGGCAGCGCGTGAGCATCGGGTCTACCTTGCTGATGGGCACCTGGGGGGGTTGGAGGTGGGGGGAGGAAGATGGAAAGGGGAGATCAGGGCAGCGTGTGCGCGAGCATCGGGTCTACCTTGCGTATGGGCACCTGGGGGGTGGAAGGTGGGGGGAGGAAGATGGAAACGGGAAATTGGGGCAGTGTGTGCGTGAGAATTGGGCCTACCTTGCTTATAGGCACCTGAGGGGGTTGAGTAGGTTGCAGGAGAGGAGGGGAAGGGAAGGGGAAAGGGGATAAGGAGAGTGGGGGAGGAGGAGGGGAGAGAGGCTAAGGGGGACGGAGGGGAACGAATTTGATTTGATGTGGGGGGGTCTGCAAGGAGAAGCTCAGGCCCAGGCAGCGTTCTCTTTAGAATTCTCAAAAAGGCAAATCTGTTGCAGCAGTCAAATCTTTAGAATTATAAAAAAAATCATTAGGACGGGAAAGCTCAGGCCCAGGCAGCGCGAGGGCATGGCAGGAGAACAGAAGGCAGAGCGCCCCACAGGTGACAACAGTGCACCGGAACCCCTCCCCACCGCAATGCACCTTGAGAGTGTTGGTGATGGCCTCGGCGACAATGGGTGCGTTTAGGAAAACCGACGGGGAGAGCACTGGGGGGAAGCGATTGATGATGAGAGGCAGGTCCCGCACTCGCACTCCCAGCTGTGACGGCACCGGGGATTGTGTTGGAGGGTGCACAGAGGAAAGAGGGTGGGTATGGGCCAAGACGCCAAGTGGGGAGAAGCAGAGAGCACTGGGGGGAAGCGGCTGATTAATAGGGGCTCTCCCTGCTGTGACGGCGACGGGGATTGAAAGCAGACAGGAGAAGGAGACGAGGTGGATGGAGTTATTGCAAACTGACCAAGGGTGACGAAACAGAGGACACTGGAGAAACAATAGAGGAGAGGCAGGAGGACTCAAAAGCAATGCAAGTGGGGTTGTGGATGCGAGCGAGCAGTGGGACAGAGGGGAGGCAAACCTGCTTGAGTTGCCGCTTGCATGCCAGCATATGTGCCTCCATCTCCGCCTCCCACTCTGTCCTTGATGCCAACTCTATCTCCAACGCTGATTCGACTTTTGTTTCTGACTCGGAGTCAGAAGATGCTGCCGACTCTAAGTCTAATTCGGGTTCCAGAGCAGCTGCCCCCTTCATCTCCTTCTTTCCCCTGCCCTTTCCTGTCCGACTGACAGCAGCATGGGACGAGGGGCGAGGGGAGGAAGAGCGAGAGGATGAAGGGCGAGAGGAGGAGGGGCGAGGGGGCACGTGGAGGGCGAGGGCGGGGTGGCAGAGGAGGAGGCGGCGCAGAGTGGGGCGGTTGACGCCCCAGTGCAGGGCGAGGAAGCGCAGCACTGGCGGTAGGTGCTCGAGATGATGGAACTCCTGCTGCTGCTGTTCCTCCTCCTCGTTTTTGTGCGCGTGCTTCTGCTTCTGCTGCTTCTTCTCGCCTGTCTTGCTGCTGGTGGTGGCGCTGGTGGTGCTGGTGGTGCTGCTGCTGCGGGTGCCGCTGCTGGTCCTGGTGGTACTGCTGCTGCCCTCTCCTTCCTCCTCCTCCGCCTCCACCTCCTCAGCCACCCCCCCTCCATCCACATCCTCTCGTACCTTCTCACTCCTCACATCCCCCCCGCTTGCTAGATCTCCCGTCTCTTGCTCCTGCCTTTCCTTAACCAGGAACCCTTCTCCCTCCTCGACCTTCCCTCCGTCTGCCTCCAAACCATCCTCCCCATCCACATTGCCAGAAGCATCGGGTTGCTCTTCCCATGCCAGAAATTCTGGAAAACCGGCAACGAGGGCGGGCAGAGCAGTGGAGGGGTCGTCCAATAGCGCGACGCCACGTCGCTGCGCTGCCAGCTGGCAGATCAAGGAGAGGGAAGGGGGAGATATGTGAGTGACGTGAGAGGGGGCGTGGGGGCGTGAAAGGAGAGCAGAGGGAGGAAATGGGAGGATGAGAAAGAGCAGCCGAGGGAGGGAAGCGGGGAGGGGGAGAGGGAGAAAGGGAGCCCCCGTGTAGGCACCAGCTACTCGTAACGAGCAGCATCCTGCACTCATGTTCCCTCTAGAAACCCACTTGCTTTCAGTTTTCGAAGCTCACTTTGCAAGTGCAAGCATCACGAAACAGATCTACGAATGGATCTACCCGGATATCGCCTTGCTTTCCGTGTAGACACAAGCCCCTGTGTAGGCACAAGCTACCCGCATATCGCCTTGCTACCCATGTAGACAAAAGTTACCCGCATATCGCCTCGCTACACATAGCGACTTTCACATACCGATTTTACCGCTGGATTCGCCGCTGGTCCTCAACGAATGCTGTTACTACCCGCACAACCAGCGGCATCCCGCTAGAAGGCATCCCGCTGGTTGTGCGGGTAGTAACAACATTCCTTGAGGTCCAGCGGCGAATTCAGTGGCGAAATTGGTATGTGAAAATCGTTCTGTGTAGCGAGGTGATATGCGGGTAACTTGTGTCTACATGGGTAGCAAGGAGAGATGCGGGTAGCGCGTGCCTACACGAAGACTTGTGTCTACACGGGAAGCAAGGCGATATCCGGGAAGATCCGCCTGCACTACAACCGCTTTTACGGAGAAATCCACTCGTTTCTCAAAATTAGAGACTGATGGGGCCACCTTCGGACAGAACATAAGAATGGCACCCAAGCGGGACAGCCAAAGCAAGACAATGAAACTCGAAACTCCGAACCCCAAAACCCAAACTCTGCCCCCAACCCTGAACCTTGAATCCAAAACCAAGAATTGGTGGAAGTCTCTTCGTTACCAGACGATGCAACCCAGAATAAGAACCAAATGGCACCTTTTGGAAAAAGCCCAGAGATTGCTGCAGCAGCACATCGTCGTCCCTTGCGATCAATGTCAGCCGTCCGATTGCTCGCTGAATCAACGGCCCAACAGGAGCCACTCCGACCCCTCTACCTTGCCCTCTCTCCTCCTCTCCACTCCCTGGCCCATCACCACTCTCCTCCTCCCCTCGTTCCTTTCCTCTTCTCTTCTCTTCCTCAATACCCCCCTGAGATCGCCTCTCCTCCCCTCCTTCCTCTTCCCTGTCTTCGCCCCCCCCACCAGCACTACCAGCACTAGCAGCCGCCCACAAGGAATCCCCTCGCCCCTCGCTCCTACCACTCCTGCCACTCCTGCCGCTGCTGGCTGGCGTGGCAGTGGAAGGGGTGGTGCTGCTGGTGCTTTCACAGAGATTTTTGGTTTGGGTGGTCTTTACAGGGGCAGCATTGAGAAGGCTGCTAAGAAGCAGAATCTTCCCCCACACACTCCTGGCTCGCACTCCCCCACACACACGTGCCACCTGCCGTGCTCTCCCCCACGCCACTCCCACACTCTCCACCACCGCCGCCACCACCCACTCTGCTGCTTCCCTGCGCCCACCCCCCTCTTCCGCCTGCATCTGTGCACCTGTTTCCCCCCGCTGCTGCTGCTGCGCGTTATAACCCACCTCGCCTCGCCTCTCCCCCTCCATCCGCCTCCCCCCCTTCAGCAAATCCACCACCCGCAAAAACAGGTCCTCTTCCCCCTCCTCTCCCCCCTCCTCCTCCCCCTGCCCCTGCCCCTGCCCTTCCCCTTCGTCTTCCCCTTCGCCCTCACACGCGAACGCCCCCAAAGCCTGCTCGCGATCCACCCTGCCTCCCGGCGCGTCCCCCTTATTCCCGTCTAAACCCTCAACCCTGCCGGGGGGTTCGGGGTTGCCGGCTAATTGTTCTAATAGTGAAGGATGATCCACTACCGAAGGATGATATTCTCTGCACTCCTGTCTGCCCTCTGTTTCACCCTCAGCTGTGCCTTCAGGTGTGTTTTCAGGTGCGTCTTCAGGTGTGCTTCTTGGACTAAGCCCTGAGCGTCTAAGCTTCCTTTCAAGCTCGGCCGCCCCCTGTTCGTCAGCATCTCGCTCTAACACGAACTTCGCGAAACCCGTTACGTTTCTCGCCACAGCCTTCGCCTGGTCTTCGCTAAAACCTTCGTCCTGCACTAAAACCACCGCCAAAGCCGCCCGCGCAATCTCCATCCTCCGCTGGCTAATCTCCCCCGATCCTTCCGCCGTATCATCAATCCTTCCTCCTCCGCCAGCGCCTCCGCCAGAGCTTCCCCCCAGCTTTCCCCCGAATCCTCCCCCCCCCGCCTCTGCGGGCACGTTTCCCCCCCCAGTGGCATCCGCGCGAACATGGCTTCTTGCGCGAGGGCCAATAACACGGATCTCGCGCGATCGTCTGCTCGTACGAACATCTGCGACACTAATCGCATGCAATCGCCAGCTTGTGCGACCAGCTGCGACTGGGATCGATGCGGATCTGTGAGGATGACTAGTCAACGAATCGGGGAGCCCGCGTTGACCATCGTTGACTTCAGACCAAGAGCGCGGATGCGCGAATCCCTCACCGCCGTTGACTGCCGCTGACCGGGTTTGACGGCTGGTCAACGAGATCACGAGAGGAGAGACGCTGGACCTGGATTCGCGAGAACGAGGAGTCAACGGGTGCGAGGGTCGCTGACTGCTGTTGACTGCCGTTGACGGTAGGCGACACAGCAGCGACCGCAGAGCGCAGTCTGATGCGTACATGGCAGGGCGAGCAAGTAGAACGCCCGAGGTGACAGCGACAAAAGCAAGGTGAGGACAGCAGGATGCGTTCAGTGTAAAATAAAAATCATACTGAATCAGGTGAGGTTCGGACATCCTGCTATAGCTCAGTTGGTAGAGCGGAGGACTGTAGTTGAGCAATCCTTAGGTCACTGGTTCGAATCCGGTTGGCGGGATCATTTTGCTCTCTGGCATTGTCATCGTGCCTTCTGCTGCCCTTTTATCCCATCCTCACAGGCTCAGATATCTCTCGCGTTGGCGAGCGATGCGGTGCGCCGACTGGTGTTTCCCTCAACGGCCTTTCCATCTCAACACCCCTTTCCTCTTTCTAGCCGCCACGATCCATGCCCGCTGAACGGCATTCCGAGGTTTAACGAAGTTCTGTCTTGCGACTCCTCATAAACATTTTGCGGATACTACTCCTTCTGATCGTCTCGCAATGGCTGCCCGCATAGCACGGCGGGTGGGGGGGATCTCAACCGTCGATCGCACGCCGTTCGTCTCCGCACTCCTTGCTGAAGCCTTCGCATGGCGTCGCACGTTTGTGTCGTCGTCAACATCGCCAATGTCGTCAGCTTCGTTAGCCTCGCCTGCGTCCCCCGTGTCGGCAGCGCCAGTACGGGGAAGCGTGGCGCAAGCTGCGGAGATTTCTGCGCCAGCAGGGAGAAGCGGTGCGCAGGCGGTTCTGGGAGGCGGTGCAGGGGCAGCGGAAAGCAGCGCGGGGGACAATGCGCGGGCGGTAGGGGGAAGCGGCGCACGAACCATAGGAGGAATCACCGCGCGCGCGGCGGGGGGAGGCGGCGCGCGCGCGGTGGTGCGCGTGGTGCGCGCGGACGGGATGGACGTGGAGGCGCAGCTGCGGCTGGAGGAGAAGCTTCTCAGAAGCGACCCGACCAACAGCAACTGGTTCGTCTTCAATGCTGATGTGGCAGCACCGACCATCGTGATGGGGATTTCGGGGTGAGCCACTCTCGTCTCGTGTCTTTTGTCGTCATTTGAGCCACCTGAGCCACCTGAAAAGTCTTTCTCGTGTCTCCTGTCGTCTCCCATCGTCCCCTGCTGTCTGTCCCTGCTTTTGGGTATTCTGAAAAAAGAGACTCAGCTTTTCCCGACCCCTCCTCCCCCTTACCCTCCCTCGTCGTGGTCTTCTCCTTCTCGCCTTTCCCCTTCCCCAACGACACCTCCTGACCTCTTCTGTTCTCTTTTCACCTGAACAACCTCCATATATTCTCTCCACGTTTCCTTTTATTGTTCCTCTGTCCCATCCCTCACAACTGGTCCCACTTCCTTCCCCTTCCTCCCTCCCCCGTCCTTCCCCCGCCTCCCCACCCCACACTCCCCAATCCCCCCCATACCAGCAAGCCGCACGAGCTGCTTCACACCGAGGCTGTCCTCGAGGCTCGGGTGCCGGTGGTCCGCCGGTTCAGTGGCGGAGGTACGGTGGTGCTGGACTCAGGCTCGGTGCTGACGAGCCTGATCTGCCGGCGCGACGCGGTGCCGAACCTGCCGCTGTACCCGCGGCCCATAATGGAGTGGACGGAGGGGCTGCTGCAACCGGCGATGGCGAATGTTCCAGGCTTTGCTCTGAGGGATAATGGTGAGAGGGACAATAGTGTGTGTGTGTGTGTGTCTGAGAGGCGACTTTTAAGTTGACTTTAAATCCATAATGGAGTGGACGGAGCGGCTGCTGCAACCAGCCATGGCGAACGTTCCGGCCTTTGCTCTCAGGAATTATGGTGAGCAAGTGGATAGAATGCACCGAGATCATAACCACTTGCTCAGCAAATAGGCATGGTTGCTAGTGAGAGCTGAATGGCGCGCACAGCAGGCTGAATGATCCGATTCACCCTGCTTGAATGGATCTTGCTCTGAAATTTCTATGTGAATCAAGCACAGCAACACAGGGACAAAAGGGAAGATCACTGCCATGTGTATGTGAATCATTGCCATTGCCATGCCACGTCATCAGACTACGTGGTGGGCGATCTCAAGGTGGGCGGCAACGCGCAGAGCATCACGGGCTCTGCCTGGCTGCACCACACGTCGTTCCTCTGGGACTTCTGCTCGCACCGCATGGCACTGCTGCAGCAGCCCTCACGTGCTCCTGAGTACAGACAGGTGAGTGTGTGACATATCGTGCTCGATATAGGGTATGGATGTAATCTCAGTTTGACTGCCTTTCTGTGCAACCAACAGTGCCTGGACCAAGAAAGCTTGGTGAGTTGAGCCATGTGAGTGTGGTTTGTGATGTGACTCTATGGTGAAGGATGTTCGATTCATCTAGCCATTACCTGCTTATAATGGCTTTCTAGGGCTTGTAAAAAAACATATATATTTTTTGCCTACAATCACCTCTGTTCTCTTCCAATCTCTCCTTTGCAGGGGCGCTCCCATGATCAGTTCATCACCAAACTATGTCAGTATTACTCCACAAAGGACGAATTCTTGAGATCCGTCCTAGTTGCACTCGCTCTGCACTTTGATTTGCGGGCGACTGCTCTCCACCAAGTAGAGGCTTTGCCATTCCAGCCTTGGAAATCCGGTGTTGCTGTTCTTGCTCGGGATGAGTTAACTACTGCTGCTAACTTGTGAACTCGTACTGTGGTAATGGATATATCGTTTTTCTTGGTTCATTCACTGTAGGGTCAACCTTGGTGAAGCTGAGCGGTTCGATGTTCTTCTAACGAATCAAACCGAGATTGGCCAGACCCATCCCACAGTGAACAACTCGAACCGTCTCCGCCGTACACTTTTCGGTTTTCCCCCCCTCCCCCCGCATTCTGCTGCTCACCGCGCAAGAACAACCACATCGCAGACCCCCCAACGAGCCGCGCAACCTTGCTGACAGCGCCATTCCCCTAGATTCCAATTCCGCCTGCCCCTGCGAAGTGTCTCCCCCACAGCGCATGCTCCTGCGCAGAAGTGTTTCCGCTCCTCCGCTGCCTGTGACGTCCGTCCCGCTGCGGTTGCTGCCGCTGCCTTGGGAATGCCAGAGTCGTCGAATCCATCCTCTCCATTTGTCAGTCCGTGCATCTGTGCGGGGCAAAGAATCTCACAAGTGGCGTTTGCCCTCCCTAGATTTCACCAACAGCAGCAAAAGCGCACCCGTCTCTTGGGAATATCCGCTTCCCTGGACTTGTGAATGGCTGCGTGGAGCCCCATCTCCGCGAAAGCCACCTCTGCTGCCTGCTCCTCCTCGTTCGCTACGCTGTCCGGCTCCTCTAAACGCTTTTTTAGCGTAGCTCCCGCCGCTCTTTGCGGGATTTCCGGCGGATCTTGTCCTGCCATAGCTGGGAGTAGCCTCGGCTGTGATCTGCTAGGAACTCAGCTCCCTTTGTCCCGCCAATCGCGGGGGTCCGAGAATAAACGCGTTCCTGCGCCCGGATCGTTGACATTGTTCAGGTACTTCGCGAGTCGGTAACCGAAATTGTCAGTAGCAATCAGGGCCGTTGATCCTATCCGTCAGTGATTAGATGCATCCTAGCCGTGCGTTCAACTCTGTGAGGCGTTGCCGTGCTCATGCTGAGCAATCTGATTCGATCCGTCTTGTCGGTTTTCGAAATCGCCAAACTTGCGTCGTCAATGTCAAATGAGGTGATTTTCGAGTCGACTCGGTAGTCATTTCGTCCCCAATCTCATATCTTCTCTTCTCCGCAGTTCTCCTTCTGTTTTACCTGCTTATTGAGCAATCCATTCTCCATCAATGCCGTTGTTCCCCTCCCAGGAACCATTATCATTCGACCCGGCTCGTCGCCAAGGCTGCTGCCGCCATGAGCCCGCTGTCAGGTACCCTCGCAGGCCGATCACGTGCGAGCCTCGCGAAAGCGTTCGCGAAACAACCTGCTCTCGCGAAAGCGTTCGCGTTCGTTTCGCTGTTTCTCGCCGTGGGTGTCGTGGTCGCGGTTGGAGGAGTCTTGACGTCCAATAGCGATGGCAGCAGCAGCAGCAGTGCGAGGGATGACCGTTGTCCGAGTTCCGACAAGCACTGTTCTGCAAACCAGGGACCCTCAACACTTGCTTCAGACGACCTGTTGCCATTCGGCAAGCAAGCTCTTTCCGGCGCTCTATCATCATTCCATCGCTCACTCATCTCGATTATACATTAGTCTAGCAAGCTTTCCTCTCCGCACGCTTAGTATACCGCATAGCCATCACGATTCCCGTGTGCTCCAACACTTTAAGGTCAGAAAGGGTTCAAAGCAATCCATTGTGCGTCAACTCCCCGACCTACGTCCGGTATGGACAAATCGCTGCCCCTTCTTCTCCTTCACTCTCCCTTCCCCTTCCCTCCCCATCACTTTTCCCCAAATCCAACCCCCACTTTCTCCCAGGCACACCAGCGGCAAAGACCATAGTGCTGCCAGCCAAGGCGGGGAAGCATGCTGCCACTGTGGTGTGGCTGCACGGGCTGGGGGATACTGGCTATGGATGGTCCGATCTCTGCGAGACAGTTAACCTCCCACATGTACGTGAATGTGAAAGGTGGGTCCATTATAGCTGCGATGTGGCTTCACGGGCTGGAGGACACCGGATATGGATGGTCTGATCTCTGCGAGACGGTTAACCTCCCACATGTCCGTGAAATTCCTTATGAAACTAATGAAAGTGATCCCATCCCACTATAGCTATGGTATGGCTGCACGGGCTGGGAGATACCGGCTATGATTGATCTGATCTGATCTCTGCACGACAATCAACCTCTCACATGTATGCGCATGTCTCTCATGTATGTGCATGCACATGTTTCAGATGTGCATACTTCACATGCGTGTGCTTTTTCCACATGTATAGAAATCTCATATTCCACTTGCATGTACGCACTTGCTTCTGAGCTCTCCTCTTGCTTATGTCCTTGGCTCTCTGTAACGCTTCCTATTCGGCTCCTGCTGCAATTGAGCTCGCCAGCACAAGGTTCTGCCCGTGTCTCATTGGTGAGACGTTTTTTAAGGCTCACCAGCGCATGGTGTCTCATTGGTGAGACGTTTTTTAAGGCTCACCAGCGCATGGTGTCTCATTAGTGAGACGTTTTTTAAGGCTCACCAGCGCATGGTGTCTCATTAGTGAGACGTTTTTTAAGGCTCACCAGCGCATGGTGTCTCATTAGTGAGACGTTTTTTAAGGCTCACCAGCGCATGGTGTCTCATTAGTGAGACGTTTTTTTATGGCTGTGTTCCCTCCTTCCATCGGGAGCTCACCAGCATATGGTTCTGTCCGTGACTCATTGCTCCCTCCCTCCCTCCCATGCATTGCATGCAGATCAAGTGGATCCTCCCCAGCGCCCCCATTGCCTCTGTCACGATCAATGGTGGCATGCCATGCCCCTCATGTGAGTATTCACCTCCCATGCCCCTCATGTGAGTAGTCGCTTACCATGCCCCTCATGTGAGTAGTCGCTTACCATGCCCCTCATGTGAGTAGTCGCTTACCATGCCCCTCATGTGAGTAATCGCTTACCGTGCCCCTCATGTGAGTGTACGGCTTCTCATGTGAGTATGGTCCCTCATGTGAGTACTCATAAGCCATACCATGCCCCTCATCTGAGCGCTCACAAGCCATGCCCCTCATGTGGGTATATGGCTTCTCATTTGAATATGGCCCCTCATGCATTATTCAAGGCACGGCACGGCATGGCATGTCATGTGTGCGCACTGGCAAGCCATGGCTTGCCTTAAGTTGTATCATCTCGCCTCATTTCGCGTCAACACCCCACGCCTTGTTTCATCTTCCCTCATCTCACTTCGTCTCATCTCACCGCATCTGGCCTCGTCTTTCCTCCTGTGTCACACCACACCACGCTCCTCCCACCAGGGTTCGACCTGTTTGGGCTGGACGCGAACGCACGGGACGACGTGAAGGGCATCGATGCTGCTGCAAGATACGTGGCTGGAATCCTGGAGGAGGAGAAGAAGGCAAATCCTGGTGGGTGTTGGTGATACGATTACCAGAGTGGGTTAGATATCAAGGGCATTGATGCCGCTGCGAGATTCGTGGCTCGGATCCTGGAGGAGTAGAAGAGAGCCAACTCGGGTAGGTGCAGTGTGGCTGCAAGATATGTGGTTGTTCTGTAGGAGGAAAGGTGAGCCAATCCTGGTTGGAATGGTAGAGATATAGATTTACATATATGTATATACTATACATATATGTCTACATATATTTGCATACATAAAGAATTTGCGCCCCTTAAACAAACCCTTCTCTCTCTGCCCTCCCACCCTCACCAGATGTCAAGTTTGCAGTGGGCGGGTTCAGCCAAGGGGGCGCCCTATCCCTCTACCTCATGTCCCGGAAAGTTCTGGGAAAGTTTGAGGATGGTTCCGATGCTTCGGCTGTGCCGCTCCACGCCTCTGTTGCCTTCAGCGGCTGGCTGCCCAAGTGCAGGTGGGTGGGGTATGGGCAAGGTGGGAGCATCTGGGGCAAGAAAGGGCTTGGGAAGGGTGGAGGGCTTCGGAAGGGTGGAGGGCTTGGGAAGGGTGGAGGGCTTGGGAAGGGTGGAGGGCTTGGGAAGGGTGGAGGGCTTGGGAAGGGTGGAGGGCTTGGGAAGGGTGGAGGCCTTGGGAGATGTGGGAGCGTCGCCTGTGCCGCTCCACGCCTCTGTTGCTTTCAGCGGCTGGCTGCCCAAGTGCAGGTGGATGGGGTACGGGGAGGATGGGGTGCGGGGAAGGTAGGATATGGGAGAGGTTTCCGCCTGCACTGGGGCGAGGTGGCTTGGGAAGGGTGGACAGTGGGCGATGTGCTAGCCACATTCATGCCTCGGTTTCCTTGAGCACCTGGTTGGCCCAGTGCAGGTGGTTATGTAATTGCGAATATAGAGAGGCCTGGAGAAGTACAGAGCGGTCTAAGAATCCTCTGGGAAGGTACAGAGAGGTGAAATCTGGTGGAATTTGGGGAGGTTGAATTACGGCTGCTCAAGTGCAGGGCTGGGGAAAGTGGGACTGGGGAGAGGATGGGATGGGCTTGGTCTGTTCCTCATCCTTCCTCTGTGCCCTCTTTGAAAGGAGGAAACTTTGGGGTCGGGCTGCTACTGTTACTGCTGCTGCCACCAACTTCAAGCTCCTAAAACAAACTGCTCCGCCTCCTCTTCCCCCCCCCTTTTTCCTCACGGCAAGCAGTCTGAAGCCCGGAGGCAGTGCAGCAGTGGGGGATGCATCAGTGGCAGAGAAGGCCGCCGCCCACCCTTTGCTCATGGCGCATGGGGAAGGTAGGCTGGTGGGGTGGTGGCGCTCAGGGGGGGGGGGGGGGGGGTGTGAGGAGATAGGGAAAAGGGGGGATGGGAGGGGTTGGGCTGAAATGGGGAAAAGGGGGGATGGGAGGGGCTGGGCTGAAATGGGGAAAAGGGGGGATGGGAGGGGTTGGGCTGAAATGGGGAAAAGGGGGGATGGGAGGGGTTGGGCTGAAATGGGGAAAAGGGGGGATGGGAGGGGTTGGGCTGAAATGGGGAAAAGGGGGGATGGGAGGGGTTGGGCTGAAATGGGGAAAAGGGGGGATGGGAGGGGTTGGGCTGAAATGAGGAAAAGGGGGGATGGGAGGGGTTGGGCTGAAATGGGAAAAAGGGGGGATGGGAGGGTTTGTGGGGAGATGGGGAAAAGAGGGGATGGGAGAAAATGGAGGTGTAAGGGGAGGGCGTAGAAAGGTGGAAAATGGGGGAGGAGGGGGAGAGGGGGTTGTGGGTGGCATTGGCTCAGCTGCAGTCGTTGCAACGATCAGCCTGGTCCTCTTCGCCTTTGACCGCACCCTTTCCAAGGGCTTTGCTCAGATGCTGCAGTGAGGTCTATCAATGCATGATTGGTGTAGTTCGCCTTTGGGAAGGGTGCGGCTCAGGTGCTGCAGGAAGTCGCATGCGGATCAGTGATCGATTCCTGAAATATTCCCCCCCATCCTCTCATCCCGCACCCACACGTGCTCATACTCTCCCATCCTATGCATCCTTGTTCATGCAGCTGACAGCCTGGTGCCCTTCGCATTCGGCAAGGGGTCAGCTCAGGTGCTGCAGGAAGCAGGGTTCTCCAACCTGACCTTCAAGTCATACCGCGGGTGGGTCATTGCCTGTCATGGGAGGGGGTCCTCTTGGACATGTGTGCATTTTTCCTTGCCCAGCGCGACTTCAGCTGCTTGAATGATTTCTACACACGGTAGTTCACATGGTTCACAGCCAGCTGGAGATATCCTTTGGGTCACCTACTCCGCAGCTCTTTATCACAGCTTCTGCCTACATAGTGACACACGAAGTGTCTCATTGCCTGTCACATGCGTCCACACGAGATCATCTTGAGCTATTATGACCGGTTCTGTTTCTACCCCACTCACACCCCCCTCCCCCACAGCATGGCCCACTCTGCTTGTCCTGAAGAGCTGGCAGATCTCAAAGCCTGGCTGCAGAAGAACGTGCCACCACCCTCTTGATTCCCCACCTGCCACATTGCCTGTCAAGGTGCCCCCAAGCCACTCGCAATTCTGTGGCTCTTGTAAGACATGCAAGAATATATATTTGCTAGCATTCTATCTATGTCTGCGGATTACTAAAGCTGTAACCGAGATCAACCGTTAGTGAAGGTGGAAAGCCCTGTCTACCGCGGACATTTCTCTGAAAAACGTCGCATGGTCGACCCGGCCGTGTGCGAAATTCAAAAGGCATTCCTCCTGCGATACGACTGGTCGATAAAATTTCAACTTCACTCGCGCGAATACTCGACAACAGCGCCCCTCGTTTCCCGCAAAGTTTTTATTCCATGGTAGCGAAATTGTAAGAACTTCCGAGTCAAAATCACTTCCATGTGAAACACACCCCGACCCAACCACACCTGGTCAATCCCTTCTCGGCATTTCAAACCACTCGTTATTGCTTGCGTGTGCCAGGAGCGTTTGGGATTGGTCGTGGAATGAAGTCGTAACCAATCGCAATGTCATAATGTGGATGTGAAATTTTAGCATACATGCGAGACCAATCAGAAGAGTTGCTGGCTGGGTTCTGGAACCTGGTCCGAGCTGGTCCGTGAAATTGAGCCCTGATATCCCAGGATGCTTATCCTGGCCTCCTTCAGTTCACAGATTCCTTTATCGCTTCTATCAGTTCCCTCCCGTGGATCATACTCTTAGCTGCCATTTCCTATCTCTTTCGTTCACTCCAATTCACACGCCTCTTCTCCCTGATTTCTGCCTTGGGTCCAAATTTCGACGGCGGTTTAAATCCTTCCGTGGTTTGCCGAAACACTCCTTTTCCCATAATTTTCCTCATTCTCGTATTTATTCACTGCCCCCTCGCGTGTCCTTCTTATTGAGCCATAGTCCGTCCGAAATTACTCTCCCTAAGAAAATGAAGAACTTTTTTCGGATTTTTTTTGGCATTCGCAACTGCCGTGCTCCTGCAGGGACGGCAGAACCAGCGGCAGCAGCAGAAGCAGAACCAGCAGCAAACTTAGCTGGAGCAGGAGCAGAAGCAGAACCAGCAGGTGCAGCTGCTGCAGCAGCAGCAACGGATCAAGAGCCATACAGTAAGGATCGGTCCAACAATAGCCGACCACCACTTACCGTTGTTTGAGTCGACTTAGAACTTTCCGTGGTTTGAGTTGATTCAGAACTTACCGTGTTTTGAGTCGAATTTGAAATACTCCTGCTGCAGCAGCAACGGATCAAGCGCAATGCTGTCATGCAGTCCATGCTGTCATCATGATGATGTCATGCTGTCATGCAGTCCATGCTGTCATCATGATGATGTCATGCTGTCATGTTCCCATGCTAAGGCATGAGCGGGCACGACTAAAGTTTTGGAAGCGCAGTAGGCGGCACACGGCCACGGTGGTGTGGCTGGTGTGGGCGCAAGACGTTTGAGTCGACCCAAACGCCCCTTCCGCTCGCGCTCCCCCTTCACCCACGCCCCCTCAGGCACACGAGCGGGCCCGACCATAGTGGTGGAAGCGCAGGAGGGGCAGCACACGGCCACGGTGGTGTGGCTGCACGGGCTGGGGGACAGTGGCAATGGCATCTCGAACTGGTTGAATATGGTGTGGGAATCTGTGGATGAACAAGGCGGCAACCATCTACTCGACCTCCCACACGTACGGTTATGGGTGCTTGCATTGGCTGCATGAAGTGGGGTGGGATGGGGTGGGGTGGGGTGGGTTGCGGTGAGTGAGATGGCGTGTGGAATACTGAGAGCTGGCGTGAGAGTGCGTAAAACTTTTAGTCGGTTGACACCCAGCCACCGATCCTATACGGCGGCTACGTGTGTCTGTTGCTGTTCGAAAAAAGAGTGAGTGGCATAGAAAAAAGAGTGAGTGAGTGGCATATTTAAACTAGACCTCCCTCCTGTATGTGCAACTGGCTGTCGAGTCGACACAGGCGATGGGTGCTTGCAATGGTTGCCTGGGGTGGCTGATGGGGTTGGGTGGGGGGAGTACCTGAGAATGGGGGCTATTTACGCGACCTCCCTGTGTTGTATGTTGAGTTTGTGGATTCTGTGAATTCTTGGAATTCTGTGAGTTCTTGGAATTCTGTGAATTCTTGGAATTCTGTGAATTCTAGGAATTCTGTGAATTCTGGAAATTCCGTGAATTTTGAGACTTCCATGATCACCCAACAACGGAGGCTTCTCCATACCCATTGGATTGGACTTTTCGTTTCCCAGCGCCTGTAGCGACGATTTTCCGAGCGCTTCAGATCCATGGTTCACCTGGCCTCACCTCACCTCGCCTCACCTCGCCTCACCTCACCTCACCTCACCTCACCTCACCACGCCTCATCTCCTCCCGCCATTCCCTTCGTGCAGGTCAAGTGGATATACCCCTGCGCACCTGGAAATCATGTCTGAGGCGCCTAAAAATACCCACCCCCTTTCTTTCCTCCTCATCTCCTCCCCACACTCACCGCATTCCCATGTGGCAGGTCAAGTGGATATTCCCCAGCGCCCCTACAGCTCCCGTGTCTGTCAACCGCGGCCATCGCTCCCCTTCCTGTGAGTCCCTCACGTGCCCTTCTTGTGAGTTACTCAGTTGGCCTTTCTTTGAGCTGGTTTTCTTAGATGTCTTTATCATCGGCCCTTGTCTCCGTCAACCGCGGCGCGGCCATCGCGCCCCTTCCTGTGAGCCTCTCATGCACCTTCGTGTGAGCCCCTGATGTCCCTTCCTGTGAGCCCCTCATGTCCCCTTTCTGTGAGTGACTCATGTGCCCTTCGTGTGAGCCGTGCTCCCTCCCAGCACAAAACGCCGTCAGATCAGAGGTGTCGTATTATAGTCGCTACCTGCCCAGTTCTTCTTCTCCCATCTATGCCCCTCATCCCCCTCATCCCCCTCATCCATCCCTCATCCCCCTCATCCATCCCTCATGGTACTTGCCCCTCTCCTCCCCCCTATCCAGGGTACGACATCCATGGTTTCAACCCCCATGCTCCCGTGGATGCCTTTAGGGGATTTTCACAAGTCGCCTGCTCACCCGCCCCCTTGTCCCCTTGTCTGTACATGCCTCTCCATCCCCTCTCCTCCCCCCTATCCAGGGTACGACATCCATGGTTTCAACCCTGATGCTCCCGTGGATGCCTTTAGGGGATTTTCACAAGTCGCCTGCTCACCCGCCCCCTTGTCCCCTTGTCTGTACATGCCTCTCCATCCCCTCTCCTCCCCCCTATCCAGGGTACGACATCCATGGTTTCAACCCCGATGCTCCCGTGGATGCCGCGGGCCTTGATGAGGCTGCCAGATTCATTGCTGGGATTCTCGAGGAGGAGAGAAGGGCGCATCCTGGTGGGTGGGTGGGTGGGTCGGTGGGTGGGTGGGTGGGTGGGTGGGTGGGTGGGTGGGTGGGTGGGTTGAGTCCTGTGCTGTGCTGTGCTGTGCTGTGCTGTGCTGTGCTGTGCTGTGCTGTGCTGTGCTGTGCTGTGCTGTGCTGTTCTGTGCTGCGCTGTGCTGTGCTGTGCTGTGCTGTGCTGTGCTGTGCTGTGCTGTGCTGTGTTGTGCTGTGCTGTGCTGTGCTGTGCTGTGCTGTGCTGTGCTGTGCTGTGCTGTGCTGTGCTGTGCTGTGCTGTGCTGTGCTGTTCTGTGCTGTGCTGTGCTGTGCTGTGCTGTGCTGTGCTGTGCTGTGCTGTGCTGTGCTGTTTAAGGGGCTACCAAGAGGGCTGGATGCCAACGGCCTTGACGAGGCTGCCAGATACATTGCTGGGATTCTCCAGGACGAGAGAAGGGCGCATCCTTGTGGGTGGGGTGCTGTGCTGTGCTGTGCTGTGCTGATTGGATGAGTAGCAACAGGGTTAGGGGTGTGAAAAGCATTGACTGATTGGGTGAGTAGCAACAGGGTTAGGGGTGTGAAAAGCATTGACTGATTGGGTGAGTAGCAACAGGGTTAGGGGTGTGAAAAGCATTGACTGATTGGGTGAGTAGCAACAGGGTTAGGGGTGTGAAAAGCATTGACTGATTGGGTGAGTAGCAACAGGGTTAGGGGTGTGAAAAGCATTGATGCGGCTGCAAGATAAGTGGGTCGGATCAGCCGGGGGGGTGCGGGCGCTCTTTCCTCCCTATCCCTTCCATTTTCCTGGTAGCTTTTATTGAAGTGGCCCCAATTTATTCTTGTATACAGTGGGTGGGAACAGCCGTGGGAGCACATACTAATACTTCTTATTGAGGTGACTTTAATCGAATCGTTCTTTCTCCCTCCCTCTCGGCCTTACCAGTTGTCACGTATACAGTGGGTGGGATCAGTCAAGGGAGCGCTCGTCCTCTCTTTTATTGAGTCACCTTATATTGAACCCTTTCTTCTATTTTTGCCTCCTGCCCTCTTCCCTTCACCCACCAGACGTCACGTATATAGTGGGAGGGATCAGCCAAGGGAGCTCTCTCTCCCTCACTTACCTTAACCGATTTTATTCTTTTCCTCTTCCCCCTCTTCCCCCTCTTCCCCTGACCCACCAGACGTCACGTATATAGTGGGGGGTATCAGCCAAGGGGGCAGACTCTCCCTCTACCTCATGTGCCGGAAGGCGCTGGGAAGCTTCGCGGATGGTTCCGATGCCTACACTCTGCCTTTCATTGCCTCCGTTGGCCTCAGCACGTGGCTGCCCAACTGCAGGTGGGATATGGTGAAGGTATTATCTGGAGAACTATGATCTAGAGAAGGTAGGTGGGTAGTTTTTTCTCTGAGCTTCATTGCCTCCGTTGGCCTCAGCACGTGGCTGCCCAACTGCAGGTGCGGTCTGGGGAAGGTGTTATTTGAAGGGGTAGGATCTGCAAACGTTAGGTATTTTCTTCTTTGCATCTTTTCCCTACGCTGCTTTGAGAGGTTGCCTGCCCCAGTGCAGGTGGAAGGAAGGTGTTATCTTGTCCCACCCACCGATGATGAGTCCATGGTTCCCACTTTCCTCCCTTCACAGTCTTATTCCAGGACCTGGGGGCTTTTGAGGCGCTTCAAAAGTGATTCCG